AACTCCCCAATCAGCCCTGCTCTGAGCCCGACCAGGGGCTGCACCTAGGGATTGGGCCTGCCCTCTGCCACCCAGGAGCAGGCCTAAGCCAGCAGGTCGTTATCTCCCGAGGGGTCCAGACTGCGAGAGGGCACAGGCCGGGCTGAGGGACCCCCCCCTTCCCCCCCGAGGGCACAAATTTTTGTGCACCGGGCCTCTAGTCATAGATAATATTCCATTGTATGGATTTATCATAGTTTGCTTAGTCATTCACCTATGGAAGGATTCCTGGTTGCTTCCAAGTTTTAGCAATGATAAATAAAGCTGATGAAACACTGTGTATAAGTTTTAGTGTGCATGTGACTTTTCACCTCATGTGGGTAAACACCTCGGAACGCAATTGCTGGGTCGTAGGATGAGCCCATGGTTGACTCTGTGGGAACATGCCAGGCTGTCTTCCAAGTGGCCACAGTGAACATGTCTGGCCAAGGTGGTGTCAATGTGGTGCCACTGCAGCCTTGCTGGTGGGGGTGTAAGATGGTACACTCCCACCAACTTCAGAAGGGAGTTGGGCAGCTTCTTACAAAACTAAACGTACTCTTACCATACCATCCAGCAATTGCATTTCTTGGTATTTACACAAATGAACTGAAAACCTATGTTTGTTCACACAGAAACCTGCACACAAATGTTTATAGTTACACTTTTACTTTTGTTAATCTTTATTGTTGAAAGTATTACTGATGTCTCCTTTTTCCCCCCTTTAGCACCTTCTAGTCCACCCCTCGCCCCCACCCCTAGCTTTCACCATACTATTTCCTGTGCCCATGGGTTATGCCTACAAGTTCTTTGGTTAATATCCTCCCCCCCACCCACCCTCCCCTGCCTTCCCTCTGAGATTCCACAGAGAATATTTACATCTTTAAAGTACAGAAAAACTGTAATTTTAAAGGTTCATCTTCAGTCTCTGAAAATATAAAAATATAATAGTTATTCTAAAATCTAAAGTTCAAATTCAGCCTAAAATCCCCAATTGATGTACATTTAGTTCCCCTCAAATACCAAAGCTCATGGGCTTTCGAGGTCATCGATCTAGCTCTCTCTTAGTTTCTTTTACTTATTCATTGATTCCTTTTTTTATCCCTCTACTCTGCGAAGCCAGGAATATGCAATGAGTTTGCTGGCTTGTTTAGACAGAATGGTGAAGAATTTCTCCAGCTTAATAATGCCATAGCACAGGTATCTGCCAAGTGAACTTTGTGAAAGATGCTGGCTAGTTTGTCCATGTTTTATGGGTGATTCTGTTTCAGATTTGTTGACCAGAAATGTCTCAGATTTGGGGCTGTTCATTAAGAGTAAACAGCAGCTGTCAGACAACCAGAGGCAGATCTCTGACGCCATTGCTGCTGCAAGCATCGTGACGAATGGCACTGGGGTCGAGAGCACATCCCTGGGCGTGTTTGGGGTCGGCATACTTCAGCTCAATGACTTCCTAGTGAACTGCCAGGGAGAACACTGCACTTACGATGAAATCCTCAGCATCATCCAGGTATGCACCTGTTTCGTGTGCACACTCGTGTAAAGCCTCTGACTCTTCTAATTATTTTCTACTAAACATTTATTCTTTCCATACTTCTTTCCAAAGACTCTTTAAATTTGGGGCAGAAATAGAAGGGGGTTGGGTTGTTGTTTTTTAAATACAAAATACATAAGTGTTCTTTTTTTTTAATATATTTTTATTGATTTCAGAGAGGAAGGGAGAGGGAGAGAGAGATAGAAATATCAATGATGAGAGAGAATCATCAATCAGCTGCCTCCTGCATGCCCCCTACTGGGGATCGAGCTCACAACCCAGGCACATGCCCTTGACCGGAATCGAACCTGGGACCCTTCAGTCCATAGGTCGATGCTCTATCCACTGAACCAAACCAGCCAGGGCCATAAGTGTTCTTATTTAACATATAATTTAACACAGGCCCTAAGCCTTCTCTTACTCAGTGACTATTAAAAGGAATCAGTACACCATTCCTTCTTCTTCTTCTAGCACATGCAATAGAATTAGTAGTCTAGGCTTTCAACCTTTTTAGTCATTTAGCAAATATTTTTTATATTGCTGCTATGGGCCTGGGTCTGTTCCAGGACCTGGGAATATAGTAATACATAAGATCAAGATCTGGCCCTCCACACAGCTTGCATTCAAGTGGGTGAGGCAGACAATAAATGAATAAAGGTACAGGGTGGAGCAAAAGTGGGTTTACAGTTGTTTATATGGAGAATAATGCAATAATTAATAAATAATAATACAGGAATAAACTCTGCTTTATGTAGCTACAACTGAAAGCCTATTTTTGCCCCACCCTGTATAATATAATTTCAAGTAATAATATTGGGTTCTGGAAAAGACTGAGCAGAGTAAGGGGATGGAGTAATGCAGGAAGGCTGAGAGGAATAAGCCAAGGCCACTCTGAGGAGGTTACACTTGGCTGAGCCCTGCATAAATAAGCTATTGAAGGTCTAAGGAAAGGACATTCTAGACCAGTGGTTCCCAAACTTATTTGGCCTACCGCCCCCTTTCCAGAAAAAATATTACTCAGCCCCTGGAAATTAATTTTTTTAAATTTTAATAGCAGATACTCATCGCCCCCAAATGCACCTGTGGCCATCACCGCCCCCCTGGATCGCTGCAGCGCCCACCGGGGGGCGGTAGTGCCCACTTTGGGAATCACTGTTCTAGACAGAAGCCTCAAGTTCAAAGACCAGAGCAGGTGCGAGCTCGACATTTATGAGAAACAATAGAAAAGCTGTGTCATGGGAACCGCATAAGCCAGAGGGACCACCATAGACACGATTTCAGACAGGTAGGCAGGGGCCCAGCCATCTAGGCATTTAGGCCACGGTGAGGAGTTTGGCTTTAGTCCATGACAAATGGGAAGCTGCTGGAAATTTTTGAGCAGCGGAGTAATGAACATGACATGATTTCTGTTTGTAAGAGGTCACTCTGACTCCACTGGAGAATGAACTGTGCTGGGGAAGGAGTGGAAGCAGAGACCTAGCAGGAAGCTTTCATCAGTAACCAGGCGGCTGCAAGGACAGGGTGGTAGGGCACAGTGGAATGAGACCATTCATGGTGGCTGCGTCACCTGCAACAGAATTCGTCAAGGTTTTCAATCTCCCTTTTCAACTGATTGGGAATCAGTGGATTAGCTCTCCAGCGACTGGATTTGGTCACTGGAAATGCTTAAAATGTCAGATGATCATCACATGCTGAGTGCTCACTGTAATATTATCGAGTGCAAGCACTGTACGAAGTGCTCTATGAGAAGCATCTAATTTACCTCTCACCAGCTCTATGATAGCTGCTATTTTTATCCCCATTTTCACTTGGATAAACTGATACCATTTGTTTTCATATAAATCAACCTTATTCTTTTCTCTTAAGTAAATATGCTTCGTATAATAAACTCACTTGTAATAAATGTTTTCTTTTTTAAAAAAAAAATCTACATCTTACCACTACATAGCTAAATTAGTTCAAATATTTGGTTTAGATGTTTCCTGATGAAAACAGAACAGTTTTAAAAAATGATGTGGTGTTTTCCCCCTTAGGTTCCTTTACCTAAATAACACTCTTTTTGTATTCCTTGCAGAAGTTTGAGCCTAGCATTAGTATGTGTCATCAGGGCCTAATGTCATTTGAAGGATTTGCAAGGTAACTTTTAAAATATCTTTTGCCCTATCATTTAAGAGTATATCTTTTTCCCATGCAATCCTAAGAAAATTTGTTTCCTCCTAGGTTTCTGATGGATAAAGACAACTTTGCTTCGAAAAACGATGAATCACAGGAGAACATTAAAGAATTACAGCTGCCCCTCTCCTACTATTACATTGAATCTTCACACAATACCTACCTCACAGGCCATCAGCTCAAGGGAGAATCCTCAGTAGAACTCTACAGCCAGGTACTGAGAAATCCCCTTGGAATGTGCTTGTCATTAAACCTTATTTATGTAACTCCCAAAGTCACAAAAACCTGACCCAGACTCCTGTGAAGAACTCAGAAACTACTGCATGTGAAATGTGAGGAAACATGACGTGTGGGAAAACAGCCTATACGTACAGTTGTTTTCTTTTCTTCTTTTTTGTTTTGTTTTTCCTCGCTATCTATACTTAACCTTTATTCTGGGCAATGAGAGAGAAAAAAAGTATTTGAGACTCATAGCTTTTAGATCCTACTTAGTCTGACCTACTCCTACTAAAATTAGATTTTCCCATGGGAAAGTTATCTAATTGTTTCCCTAAATGCTAAATAAATCAATATATTGTAGTGGGAAAGCATAGTAGAAAATGCAACTCTTTCTGAAGTTATTCCCAAAGTATAAGTTGTTATGCTTTGCAATTTGTTAGACAATCAATTCATCCCTATGGTAACCAACTTAAGGGGGAGTGATCTGCCCAGACTGTAGGCACTGTTCCTATATACTTAATTCATGGGCATATTCTGGGCAATTCAGTAGGTTCTCTAGACTAGAAAAAAGCACATCCTTTTGACCTAAACATCCAACTCTCAATAATCTGCATGTCAGTTGCCTCCCTGTTATATTTTCTGCAATTCCCTCATGTCTGCTGCCTATTTTGTGAGCTCCTGCAAGAAGAGGTAATCTATCAGGAAGAAGAAGCTAGGTTAGTTCCAAGGAGTACAGGGTGCCCCCAAAAATTGTATGCATACTTTAAATAATTATTCATTCCAGTGGATTAAATCTGAACAAAAGAAGCATCAATTGAGCTATCAGCTGTTAAGTGTTTGTTCATTTTGGGGGGACATCCTATATAAGCGTGTGATTGAGCTTATAGGGAAAGGGTGGAGTCCAAATGTGAACATTGCCATTGTATTGTTTACACAAACCCAGCAGACCCGAGGTTCCTTTGTTCTCCAGACTAGCTCAGATATTCCTCAAAGCATGGGTCAAACTTCTGTCCCAAAGTTTATCTAGTATGAAATATGTGCTCTAAACTCTAAAAGCTAAGCAGCTTTTATTATGAAATGAAGACATGTCCTTAAAATAATGATTTTTGAAATAGAAGTGCTGTGAAGGGGCCTCAGCTGCTGACACTGAGATGAGCAAGCAGTAGAGGAGAAGGGGTCCCATGCTTACCCCCACTGCAGCTGAAGTCCTGCTCTTTTATGAGCTGTGCATATCGGCCCTGCCTTTGCACAGAGAATTCCAAGGTTAAAAAGTTTGAAATCCATTGCTTTTTTGGGGGGATGGGGGGAATGAAGAGAGAGAGAGAATTTCTCCCAAGAAAATAAGCAAAGACCAATGTCCCAACTTTTATTCCTACTTCATTTTCCTGTTTGATTTCAAAATTTTTCTTTAACTCCTTAACATTACACCCAAAGTGAGGTTGTCGCAGCTTTTGAATTAGGCGCAACAGCCCCTCAAATAGACAAACAGAGGTGATTAAACCTAGTATGAGTCTCCCTTTACTTTTATTTCTCACCACTCCCTCCCTCAGCCCTTCTAATTACTTCCTAGTGTTATTCTATGGGTCAGATGGGGACTGAGAGAAAGCCCTGTTTTCACCTGGAATTGCCAGCTCTGGTCTTCCTTTGCTAGCCATATACGGACAGCTTAAGGTCCTGCAGACCTAGATAAAGAGTGCTAGTCTTTTCATGCTGAAAAATCACCCCATCTGCTGCGAGGCAGTGAACGTTCTTCCCAGTGTGGCAGGTGCACCACAGAGATGAACAGCCTCATGTTTCAGCTGACATATTACACAACAGTTTTCAGCCCCGAGCAACACACCTCTGGGAACTCTAGCTGCAGGAAGAAGCTGAGAGCTGTGGGATTTCAGGCCACAGAATAGGTTCCACCTGGGAAGATGGGTCACCCCGGAAGATTGAGTGCTGCATGATGTGCAGTGGGAAGGATCTACAAAATATTTCATACAAAATATTAAAATAAGAGGGATTCCACTATCAGTTTTGTTGCAGCAACTCTACTGGCCAATAGCCCCCAGTTTTGGAGTGCTGTCACATGGTAATAATTATGTGGATTCTCACATCCATGACTTGGCCCATTTGCAGATATGCTCTTGGCATGGGTTATCCTTTCAATACCCTTTCAAGACTGTCCTAAAATACAGTCTGCTAATAGATTCTATGGAGGAAGAGGTTGCTTCAAGCAAACAATGCAGAGCTGCAACCCACACACACATGTCAGGAGCTCTGCTTCCAACTCTAGGTCCAGGATAGCAAAGAGGTATCCTGTCAACTGATTCATTGGTAGTGTTTCCCTGGAGCACTTTGCCAAAGAGGTTGTGAGATAACATATCAAAGCTTAGGGAGTAGTCCAACCAGTGTGGCTCAGTGGTTGAGTGTCGACTTATGAACCAGGATGTCATGGTTCGATTCCCAGTCAAGGCACATGCCTGGATTGTGGGCTTGATCCCCAGTAGGGGGCATGCAGGAGGCAGCTAGTCAGTGATTCTTATCATTGTTGTTTCTATCTCTCTCTCCTCCCTTCCTCTCTGAAATCAATTTTATATATATATATGGAGCAGCTGTGCTGTGATTGATTACTAATGTCTGCTAAAGATATGGGAGAGTCAACTATGGCTTATTTTCCATCTCTGCTGTAGGATTAGACAACAGTCCTTGATAACTCCTTGCTTATACTCTTCTTACATGCTACATGTTCATAGCAAATGCATTAATTAGCCAGTGGCAGAATTTGTATCTAAATGAAGATTTTATCCTTATTGGTTTCATTTAATAAAAGTTAATTAAGGCCTGGCTGGTGTGGCTCAGTGGGTGAGCATCAACCTATGAACCAGAAGGTCACGGTTTGATTCCTGGTCAGGGCATATAGGGTTGCAGGCTCAATCCCCAGTAGGGGGTGTGCAGGAGGCAACTGATCAATGATTCTCTCTGATCATTGATGTTTCTATTTCCCTCTTCCTTCCTCTATGAAATCAATAAAAACATATTTTTAAGTTAATTAAGGAATCAGTGGCCTCATCTCCTCTGGGCTGTGGCATCACCTCCACTGACATCTGCCTAGACAGAGCCCAGCCTGGCTCTCTCAGTTCAGCATGTGCCATGTATATACAGCTCCCTTGAGAGACCAAAGTTGCTGGGAAAATGGTCACATGTTTTTGCTATCAAATTTACTTTCCGATGGTATTCAGCTCTGGTAAGCACTCTTTCCACCTTAATCTGTCCTCTGCCTTCCCCACCCATGATGAGATGTGGCCCTTGGCCAAGATGCAATGTTTATTTTAGTTCGAATGCCCTTCTGCTTTAGCCCTGAATGTGAACACTGATATATAGAATCATGTGCGGGGTTTAATTTGAGGCTTTCTCTCCATTCACTTATCTGGGGTGGATTTTTTCATTGATCACACAGGTCCTCCTGCAAGGCTGTAGGAGCGTAGAGTTGGACTGCTGGGATGGAGATGATGGGATGCCCATCATTTACCATGGACATACACTGACAACCAAGATCCCCTTCAAGGTGATGCTTCATAGCTTTCTTTAAATCAAATCTCAAAGAGTCATTATCTTCATTTGCCACTTAAATCAGTGACTAACACATTGTACCTTAGGTCGAGGGTTCTGATCCTTGCTCTGAAGACTCCACAGCATTTACAGTGTTATGTAGGCTGCACGCATGTTCATTTTTCTGGGAATTGATATAAAACTCTTATTAGATTCTCATTCAACCAAAGTTTAGTTACCATTACCTTAAGTTAGTTTTCACATAATAATATAGGGGTTGACAAAAGTAGGTTTACAGTTGTGAGTACATGATACACAGTTTATTCTTGTAGTATTTATTTGTATTATTTGTCTTCTTTCCAAACTATAAACCTACTTTTGCTTACCCCTGTATTGTTGTAATTTTTACATTATGTGATGATATATAAAGTTCAAGGGCTATTCCTTTGCTATAAGAATTAAAGGTCATTTGTCCTGCTAACAGAGGCCAACAACATGTGTTAAGAGATGATTCAATAATTAACATTATAAAGAAATGAGAATTGGTTCCACTTGGGGAGTTGGTTGCCCAGGAAGATTAGTCTCATTGGATTACTATTTCAAATTCTAAGTAGTTTATTATTTCATTGTGTGATTACTATCCTCATTCAGAGGGTCTTTGGCTGTGCAACATCATTTTTCTCTGAACTGTGGCTTGTCTGGAAAAGATTATTATTTCTCTCATCTGTGGAGATAATGGCTAAAATGCATTTTCTCTTTAACTTATTTCCCTATTCAGCCTTCTTAAAACCCTTTTACTTTACATTGAGGGGATTGGAAGTTGATAATTGTGTTTACATATACACATAAATATATGTGGTGTATGTCTCATTGCGCCAAGTAGATTATAAACTCCTTGAGAGCAGGAAAGTATCTTATGCTTACAATTTTTGATGCTATAACTAAAATAATGTATTTTACCTACAGTATACACAATATAAATATATTAATGATTTGTTAAATTCAGCATACTGTTTCTTATAGCATGTGAACAAAACTCAATATGATCAGTTTAATGTCTTTATAGAAAATAGCCTTATCCTCTTACTTAATTTGAAAATATAAAAACCACTTTGGCCAGAGCCTTCTGAAAATTATAATTTAGATGCCTTCTGAGGCTGTAAGTACCTTGCCTTCTGACACCTTGGACAAATACCTAATGAGATGTCTCATAAGACAGACCCTAATGAGCTGTTGTATCTCTCGTAGGACGTGATCGAAGCCATTGATCGCAGTGCCTTCATCAACTCTGACCTGCCAATCATCATATCAATTGAAAACCACTGTTCATTGCCTCAGCAACGAAAAATGGCAGACATTTTCAAGGTACACTTTTAGCTAAGAGGCAGGGTGGTATCTTGGCCCTTGTCTTGCCATTGCTGATAAGGCAAGTTTTATACGAGCCACTGTGGACCACACCACAACTGGATTCCAGCTGTGAAGCACAATTAGGGTCCCTCAGACCTGAGAAATCAGGGTGCCCTGGAGGCTTGGTCTTTCTCCTGGAAGGTTCATCTTTTCAGCTGGAGTAATAGAAGCATTGTTTTGTTCTGTGGTTCTTTGGAGAGGCCAACCCTCCAATGCTTCTGGAACCACAAATCAGGGGTGCCAAGATGTTCCCTGTCATTGTTTGTGGAAAAGCTGACAATATCTCAGGGCAAATCAGTCAAATCTTCCTGAGGCCCACCCCACAGATACAGGGTCCAAGTTGGCAAGGAGCTCGGCGTGGCCACAGCAGTTGCTATGGTAACACTCCGCCCTTCCTTATACAAGGAAACTATAAAGCAGATTTAGGGGCAAATATGCTATTATACTGTCCCCTACCCTCCACTGGTAGAGGCTTTTGTGGAAACATGGCTTTCAGTGGGAGGGAGGGACATAGCCAGCAGGAAATGTCCTCAAACGCTAATGCCAACAAAACTAGCCTTTCATATGTCTTTCCTTTGCCATCATTTAGAAGAATGGTCTCTAAACTTTTTTGATTATATACTCCTAACAGTAAAACACTAAGACATGTATTCCTTTGGTGTACTTATTGACTTATTTCTAAATCATATACATATCCTATTTATTAACTTATTTCATATATTAAAACATGCAAAAAGTAGAATATAAAAAGGAATAACAGGAAGGATAAAGTAATAAGTGAATTTTAAATACTATTACTTATTAATGGTTAGAAAAAACTTTGCTCTCATAAAAAAATTTTTAAAGTGAATTTGCTATTTACTTATTGTCTAAAGTTTTCATGTGACTGAATATGCTTCATTACGTAATACTTATCTGGCAGGGGAGATACCATTATTACAGATATGCTTCATTATTTCTGAAATTTTGAATCTACTACATCAGGAGGCTCCTCCTTGTCCCTCAGGGACCTCCATAAGCAGCTCCTGTCATCAGACCGAGTCTGACTTACAGACTGAGGGAACGAGCCATCATTTCAGTTTGTACATTAAACATTAATCAGCTTCCATTTTTGTTCTTTTCTAATTAAAAATAGCTAGAAATAGCATTTGCCGTATTTCCTACCCTTACCCCAGTGGATCATCCTGTGCCTGATCCTCTCCCACCTCCTTGAAGCACACATACTCCACTTTGGAGCCAGTGCTCAGAATCTTTCTGAGAATGGTGTCTGTGGTTCTTTGTACCAAATGGTGAATTCTCCCTATTATCTTTCATCTTTGTCCCTACTCCCTACCTACTTCAAGGTTTCTATTCTTTGATTTCTTACCCGCATCTGGAGCAGGCCATACTCTACAAACCACAGCCTCTAACTGAATCTCTGTTTTTTTCTTTACTACATTAGACCCCAGAGCATTCTCCTGAAGAGTTAGAGCTCGCCCCGTGGAGGAAATGGCCTGGCCTCTCCTCCCTGCCTTCTCACCACCTCCCTTCCTCCCAGTAGGAAACTACTGGGGAGATGGGGACACAGCTTCTTTGCTACTTCCTCTTTCTAGTATTTTAGAAACAATTCAACGGGGCTGAAACAATTCAAGTATAGATAAAAGGCATTGATTATGTGTTTTTCTTTCTAGACTGTATTTGGAGAAAAACTGGTGGCTAAGTTCTTATTTGAAAGTGATTTCTCAGATGATCCAATGCTTCCTTCCCCTGACCAACTTAGAAGGAAGGTACTTCTCAAAAATAAGAAGCTAAAAGCCCACCAGACGCCGGTGGATATCTTAAAGCAAAAGGTACTGTTCTCTTGTTAAAAAGGTTATGGGTTATGGGCAATCGGCTATTAATGGTATCAGTAAAGCTTCCTGTTAACAGTAGGCAATTAGTGGTTAAGTTTTGGGGAAGTCGAAAGTTATACTTGGGTTCAGTGTCCTCACACCTGTGTTGTTCAAGGGTCAACTGTACAATATTAGCCCATGTTCTCTTTTGCCTGGCCCTCCTCCAGGGCTGCGTCACTAACTCACAACCAACCAGCATTGGGGGCCTTTTCTTCTGCAACACTGTTCCTCTGTGCTACTTTCTTTACCCAGCAACTACTGCCCACTTCTCCCTGCCAAGCAGACACGCTGCCCTGTGCATATCTCTACTGGCTTCAAGATGTGTCTGAGTGTCCTTGGAGCGTTTGCCTTTCCTGTCCTGCACACGGTCATTTGCAGTCACTTATGCAGCCTCCATCCCACTAATGAATAGATTGTGTTGTACAGAAGTCTTCTTTATGTGGAGCCCAAATCCTCCTTCCTGTTCCTCCTACTCTTTGGCAGTACTTCTTCCCTCTGCAGCTGCACAGGCTAATTGCATATCTAGAAAGCGAGCATGTGTCTCCCCACCAGTGTTTCTCTTCTCCAAGCTAAACATTCTTGTGTCAACTGTTCCCCACAGGATATGGCTGCTAAGAGCCTTCACTTTTCATTAAGAATATTTTGGATAGTCTTAAATTTGTAGACATTTTTGAATTTGCCAGTCTTAAAAACGTGATTTCCAGAACTTCTCCAACTAGGGTCTGGCAGCATGAGGACAGGGAAGCCATCACCTCTCTTCATGTGAGCGTCATGCCTCAGTTAATGCAGCCTAGAACTGCACTCACTTTTAAAATTCTCTCATGCACACCAGGCTCATGTTGACTTTGTGGAAAACAAAAAAGAGTTCAGTTCTTTTCACAGGGACTGTTCTTATGTCTCGTCTCCCCATTTTTCCAGGTTTGCAGTTAATTTTAACCTTTCGTGTGCAGGAGCCTCATATTTATCTTGGTTAAATTCACTCTTCTTGACTTTGGTATGTTATTGCAGCATGCAATTATTGCATTTATAATTGTAAATTTTGACATCTGTCATCAATGTCAGTTTTTCAAACTGTGCCCTCATCCCAGGTTGTCCTTGGGCCAGACAGCCGAATAGAGAGCCTGTGGCCCTTCTCACAGAGCCTCCTGGAGGTTAGTGCTTAGCGCTCCCAGCTGGTGCTCCCCTTTCTTGCAGCCCACATTTCTCCAGAGTCACTTTCAACTCCTTTATTTATAGAAGAGAAAAGTGAGGCCTGCCTAGCCCTTGATGGGACTGTCTCAGTGCCACCCAGCTACTCATGGCAGAGCTAGGATTCAGACCTAGGTCCTCAGAAAAGACCTTCTCAAACACAACACAGGAGTCAGAATATATTGATGAGAATCACTGGAACAGATTTAAAAACATAGATTCTTAGGTCCCTAATCTGCCCAATGAAGTCTGAATTTTCAAGTCAGGCCTGGTAATCTGTTGTAATTATATCATCCTGAAAGTTTGGAAATATTGCTTATCTGTTATTTCCCACAAAGTGAGACCTTATCCAAAAAGCCTAAGCGGTTACTGTGTGGGAGATTTGTTAGTAAAACCACGCTAACTCTTCCTAACCACCTCTTTATTTTCTGTGTTCTCACAACCAGCTATTGTCAGGTAACTTGGCACTTCCTACCATATAATTTCCACAACTTTTGGAAAAATGGGACAGTGTAATCCCATTTCCAGTTTTTTAAGACCATCCCACCCTGATATCCCAGGGAATGTTGACAGTCATGTCTGTGAAGACTTGCAGGTGCCCGGCAGGCTGTGGACCTGGTGACCTGCGTTCACACCAGGCTGGGTGAATGGATGCTTTGAGCTCCAGTGTGCGCAGACCCAGCCCCTAACTCGGAAGGCCTGGGTCATTTCTATACAAGGACTTACCCTCAGTGAGGATGGGCTAACTCAGAGTGGGATTTCTGAAGCCCTCCATCTGCCTCAAGCTCTTGCTGAGGCTCTTATTGAACCCTCCTGACTGCACCCCACCAGGCTTCCTGTATTCTGACCTTGTCTCCTGAACTCCCAGGCTCTGGGGAACAGAGCAGAGTGAGACATGGTTTCTGCCAAGACCCATCTCCTCGTCTGACCCTTCACTCTAACCCCCTAACCTATATTTAAATTGCTTTTTTAAAAATCTTCATCCAAGGATATTTTTTCCATTGATTTTTTTTAGAGAGTGAAAGGCGGGGAGAGAGGGAAGGAAGGAGGGAGGGAACCTCAATGTGAGAGAGACACATTGATTGATTGCATGTGCCCCGACCAGAACTGGGGATCAAACTGATACATGCCCTTGACCAGAATCAAACCCATGACCCTGCCGTCAGTGGGACAGTGTTCTAACCACTGAGAAAAACTGACCAGGGCCTGCATTGCTTTTATTCAAGGGCTAGGGGGCCTGTTTTTCTGTCTCAGAATAAGTAGCATATTGCAAAGAATAGTGGTGTCCGCTCTTGACTGTCCATTTGGGCACCTCTCCCGTACTTCTTGCGCTGGGGGAAGTATCTGAGCATCTAGGGACCTTAGCACTCACTTTCCAACATTTACGAGGCAGTGGGAATTTGCGTGGCACCACTCCTAGCATACAGCTCACACATTTTTCTGCCAGTGAGCCAACCGGGCTCTTTGCAGCATCATTCCCAGCATTTGGCTTTCCCTTGAATGCTTGCTATATGGAGGCCCTTCTCTTATCCATGACTAATAGACATGCTTTTGTGGCTCACTTGTGTCTAGAGAAGATTCCCTGAAGCTTTGAAGACTGCTAATCCTATGAGACTCTCTGAAAAAAGATTTAAAATTCCCCGATTAAAAAGCATGGGAAAGGCTGTACTGGAAATCTTTGACAAGTCGTGCCCTTTAGCATATTAAGTAAAGGCCATGTGAAGCTCCGTAGTAGGAATGTGTTTCAGTTTGCTTAAGTGGCTGTTTCCAAACTTCCATTGTGTTTTGTGGTTACTGTAATTGTCCGTTTTTAAATATATTTTTATTGATTTCAGAGAGGAAGGGAGAGGGGGAGAGAGAGAGAAACATCAATGATGAGAATCATTAATCGGCTGCCTCCTGCACGCCCCCTACTGGGAATCGAGCCCGCAACCCAGGCATATGCCTTTGGCCAGAATCGAACCTGGGACCCTTCAGTCTGCAGGCAGAGGCTCTATCCACTGAGCCAAATCGGCTAGGGCTAATTGTCAGTTTTTACATAACTGAGAGTGTTACACAAAACTCACTTTGAGAAGTCCCAGCCTAGACAGTGTTCAGTTATCCAGGTGGATACAGCTATAGACATAGGCTAATCTGTATCTTGCTTACGTATATGTATTTATTATAAAGGTCATATGACCACAATTCAAGAACTTCAGGGAATAAATAATTATTTTAAAATATACATAATTCCAAGGCCCAAAACAACCTGTATTACAGGGATTCTTAATCTTGGTAATATCCAGAAATAGAATTCAGGGGGTCGCGGAATTTAGATGGAAAAACAAACAAACTACATCTTCATTTTCACTAACTGTTGGCTGAAATTTAGCATTTCCTCCAATTATAAATGTAGAGAACAAACCACAGTGACATTGGCAGTACCTATGTCTTTGTCACCAACAGAAACTGTAGATTTCTCATATTATATCACAGTTGTTACAAATGTCTCCAAGAATTACATATGCTCGTCACTATTTCAAAAACGTTACTTGGCCTACCTATATTCATGCTTTTACTGTGTTAATAAAGAAACCCATATTCCTATTGTACAGATTTGTTTTTTCAACATTTGATAACTGTTTTCACTATTCTTTTTTTCCCCTGTATAATCTTATATATTGATTTTTATACATTTAAAATGTCATTCTGAGAAGGGGTCCTACCTCACCACACTGCCCGAGGGGCCTGTGCCACAAAAACAGGCCAAGAATCCTGCTGTATTTCCATTTAAGAGTTAGCCTTTCATGCATGTCATTTTATATCATTACAAGAGATAGATACATAGATGCTGAACCAAGGATATAGAAATGTACAGGGTGGGCAAAAGTAGGTTTACAGTTGTTCATATGGAAAAAGACGTGCTTATGATTATTACACTAGCTTTATTAAATAATGTCACAGTGCAACTACAAACCTACTTTTGTCCACCACTGTATGTGTGTTTTTATAGATACACACACATATATACATTTACATGTATAAATAGTATATACACATAAATAATCCTATATTTTGGATTATTTCCTTATGATAGGTGCCCAGACCTGTATTCTTGTGCCCTGTCATAACCCCACACAGTGGTTCTAGTTGAATATAAGGCTTATGATCTTCCTAGCAGCGATACCAAGTTTTTGGAAGTTTCTAAGCCTATTAATCTGACTGATGAAATTAATCTGTTGGTCTCTTCATCCATAGGGATTCTAACATTTTTCTCAAGGTCAAAGGCCTTTAAATATTATTTTAAGAAGGAAAAAGAAAAATGATTTCTTAGCAAAGATTTACTTTTCCAGAATTGATGGGTTGGTCCACTTCAGCATTTGGGTCTGAGGCACCAAGGTTTCTCCGGGAGGGTTTGCCTCAGGGAACCACGATTCCTTAGGATTTTTCTTGAAGAAAGCGCCAGGATCCCTCTTGCAGAAAAGTTAGCATTCACCCAATGATTAACCTTGTACTTCAAGTGAATTTAGATTTTTTTTTTCTTTCCCAAATGAATCAAAATAGGATAAACCACTTTTAGCATGAGATGGTCATTTTGAAAGCTGTAAATGAACGTTCAGTAGCTTAGCATCTGCAGTCTTTAATTGTTGATATCTTACAGGCTCATCAGTTAGCATCCATGCAAGCTCAGGCTTACAATGGTGGGAATGTCAACCCCCCACCTACTAATAATGAGGAGGAGGAAGATGAAGAGGACGAATATGATTATGACTATGAATCTCTCTCTGATGGTAAGAGAAACAGACCCTATGCTGTGTGCAGGGAAGTGCCTTGATTTTCTGTTGGGGGAGGAGGGAGTGGTGTCTTCCCCCCCCCCCCAAAAAAATAAGCCCAACACTCCAGAGACCAGCAATACAAACTGTTGTAATATATTGTCCAAGAGTTTCTGAATCCTATCACTTAGCAAGAAGGACCAAGTTAGCCACTACAGCCACCACTCAAGGAAAGAAGAGGAAGGTATGGGAAGCAACACAGGAGTCATTCCTAAGTGGGTTTCTAGAGGAAAAGCTGAGAATGGGGTTTCTCTGCAGTTTCTGACTTGATTGATGCTCTCAGCAGGAATTGTAGACTGTGGCGGAATCGTTGCTGTCTCCTGCATCACCTGCAGGGGGCAGCATGATGTTCCTGTACTCTCCGCTCTCCCTCTCACAGCTTTCACTCCTGATTTCTAGGAGCATGAAAAAGAAAGAGGCATCATTTCCTTACCCCACCAACCTCCTTCTCACATTACTAAACCAACGACACATTTTCTCCCAGCCCCACCAAAGGGACAAAACATGGGCAAGCTAATGGCGCAATACAAAAAAGTCACCTGAATAATGTTATCTAGAAATTGTTATCGGTGAAGGATTCTTTTTACATGAGAATTAAGTTTTGGGTGTGTTTTGTTTGCACTAAATTAGTGTCATTTGTTACAGATTACAAAATGTCCTCTCAGGTATCGTTACTGATGATAGACTGTTTTACTTTGGCAAATTCTGTAAGGCAACAGTGTAGTAAGGAAAATATGCCAACGTTCTTATTTATGTAAATATTGTACAAGTGGAATGCATTACTTCGCTGTAAGATAATTGTTTTGCTAATATGCATATATGCACCGACCAGGGACCACTCACCACTGGCATTAAGACAGCCAAACTGCCCTCCAGGTATCTGCTTCTCACACAGCAGAACTGTCTCCTAGTCATGTTTGGCTCCTTGAACCTCCACCGTGGCCAGTAGTTACAAGCCAGTCTTTTTGTGCGCACCCCCCTCCAAATACATTTCTAGTCTGTCCATTTTTTAAATTTAAGTATAGTTGACATATATTATTATATTAATTTCAGGTGAGCAGCATAGTGACTCAACATTTATGTCCTCACTACAATAAATCTAGTAACTCACCATACAAAGTTACTATGATAATAAGTTTTCTATACTGTACATTGCATCCCCTGGACTTTTTTTTTAATACCTGGAGGTTTGTGCCTCTTCTTTCCCCTTTTCACTCATCTCCCATGTCCATACCTTCTGGCAACCATCAGTTTGTTCTCTGTATTTGAGTCTGTTTCTGTTTTGTTTTGTTTGTTTGTTTTATTTGTTTATTTTTTAGATTTCACATATAAGTGAAATCATACGGTATTTGTCTTTCTCTTTCTCACTTATTTCACTTAACATAATACTCTCTTCAGTGATGGCGAACCTATGACACACACGAACTCATTTTTTTGGTTGATTTTTTTTTGTTAAATGGCATTTAAATATATAAAATAAATATCAAAAATATAAGTCTTTGTTTTACTATGGTTGCAAATATCAAAAAATTTCTATATGTGACACGGCACCAGAGTTAAGCTAGGGTTTTTCAAAATGCTGACACGCCGAGCTCAAAAGGTTCGCCATCACTGGTCTAGGTCTATCCATGTTGTCACCAATGGCAAGATTTCATCTTTTTTATGACTAATATTTCATTGTATATATGTACCACATCTTTTTTATCCATTCATCTATCAATGGACACTTAGGTTGCTTCCATATCTTAGCTATTATGAATGATGCAGCAATGAACACAGGGATGCATATATCTTTTTTAAAAGTATGTTTTTATTGATTTTAGGGAGAGGGAGAGAGAGATAGAAACATCAATGAGAGAGAAACATGGATCGGCTGCCTCCTGCACACTCCCTACTTGGGGATCAAGCCTGAAACCCAGCTTATGCCCTGAACTGAAGTGAACCAGCAACCTCCTGGTGCAGAGGACGATGCTGAACCAGCTGAGCCACACTGGCCAGGATGCAGATACCTTTTGAATTGTTTTTGTTTCCTTCAGATAGACATTCAGAAATGGAATTTTTGTATCCATTTAATATTTATCTTTAGTTGATTGCTTCATACCATCAACTAAAAACCAATTTATTTCTTTGAAATCCCATCAGATTAATGAGGGTCATATTCTCTAATGGGGAGGTTAAAAGAGGGAGAAAAATAATTTTTATATTTTATTCTTGAAAAGTTGTGGGAATATGAATATTTCTATATTGACTTATTCTTCCCCGTGGGTCCCTACAACAGTCATGGTGATGTTTTCCCATAGAAGAACAAATTTATTCAGATAAGAAATGAAAACCAACTTTTTTGGTTGATATTTAAGATATCAACCAATCCAGAAGTAATTTCCTTCTGTAAGAAGTTAGTGCATTGGAAGATACATCCATTCTCTATCATAAATCATCCTGTGTGTTTTTTTCTGTACTTTTAATAACAAGAAAGGAGCTGGTGCCCTAGTTGGTTTGGCTCAGTGGATAGAGCGTCAGCCTGAAGGGTCCCAGGTTCGATTCCAGTCAAGGGCACATGCCCGGGTTGTGGGCTCAAACCCCAGTAGGGGGCATGCAGGAGGCAGCCTATCAATGATTCCCTCTTATCATTAATGTTTCTATCTCTCTCTCCCTCTCTCTCTGAAATCAATAAAAAATATATTTTTTTAAAAAAGAAAGGAGCTGGCTTTTCATTATTATTATTATTATTATTGGTGATATGCAAATTAAAAATGAACAGGTTGGGGAAAGATCTTTCTGATTTACAGGCATACCTCAGAGATATTGCAGGTTGGGTTCCAGACCACCGCAATAGTCATAATATTTTTGCTGGTGGAAGAGCTTGTAAAAAACTGCAATATCAGTAAAGCACAATAAAATGAGGTATGCCTATATTTTCAGGAGAGTAAAATTTAAACCCTACTCCACTGAATATCTATAATAGTAGAGTGCTTTTCTAAAACCAGCATGTGCTGGGGGGGGGGGGGTACATGGAGGGGGAGCCCCACCAGGTCTGCCCCATGGACTGTGAGACTTGGGCATTGTCCTTTCACACTGTGGCCTTAGGCCCCTCGGGTGTGTAATGAGAAGGCTCTGTTACATGTTGGCTGACATTCTCCCTTCTTCCAGCACTAACAGTTAGGACCTACAACAATCAAATCCTCTGCCGCCACGTGATTATTTCCCATTTCACTGAAAGAATGCTCTGACGGGCTGATTCCCAAACGGGCCTCATAGTTATGCCGTGACGTGACGTGTTGAAGTCTGGCCTGTGCAGGCTTCTTGATGCTCCTGTTACGGGTCCTGTCAGTCTTGCACTTTTGGTGGTGGTGGTGTGTTGCCTTACTCCTCTCTGCTTCCCTCCACCATCTTCACTTTCTCCAGCTGAGCTGAGAAGGACAGAGAAGCCTGCCTGCTGTGCGCAGGACCAGTCCCAGCTTCATCAGCTTCTTGTAATGATGGGTCCCTTCTAAGCTGTGCCCAGTCCCCTCAGAAATGATCGTGCTCTCAAATTTCTGCATAAATTTGCAAGAGTGTTCACAGGCCTTCTGAGGCCCTCGCAAGCAGCCCAGGTTGAGAATCCGTCTCGAGAATCTGGGGGCGCAGTTTATCTCTGTGACAGCCCCAGGCCTCCGTATCCACATCTATAAAATGAATTAGTCTGAAGCCTCCTTTGCTGTAAAAATGTGGCAATTCCAAAATTGCTTCCAGAAAATCTAAAGGGTGTTGTACATGGGGCTCATGTGTTTCAGGAACCACTACTCTGCCTTTTAGCCAGTAAGTTCTAAGCGACTATTTAATTAAATTTCAATAAATATCAATTAATTTTTTCCAACCTTGCTATTTATCCTGACTAGCTTTGAACATGCCCTAGAGTATAGATTTGAACTGGCAACTTAATATAGAAATATTCTATCACAATGACTACATGGTCCTAAAACAATTAATCAACTTATATCCAGTGGACATAATGTATTATTGGGAGTATTAATGCAAAATGTGAGTGTGGCAGCATGTTACACATTAACAATGTTTGTGCTTCTTTTATTGCTAGCCTTTGCATCCCTTAGTAGTCAAAATAGTACATCGATGGAAGAGTTCTTATTTCATTTATCTTATCACCTAAGCTGTTGTTATTTATGCTCTGCTTCATACCTGAGTTTAATTTATCTGGCTTTTTTGTCTTAATTTCTCTTACTTTTATCTCCTTTCTGATTCTGTTTTTCTGTAGCAGATGTCCTTACTGCTTCTCCTGCTCCTAACTGTCAGGAAGGTAAAGCCACTCGAACTGGCCATTTTAACTGCATGAATGTCAGCATCTGTTTCCAGTTTCTTAGGCCCGATTAGTATGACGTTGTGACACTTACGTGAATAAAAATGTAGTAAAATGATTGATCTCACTTACCTTGTGGCAGCCTGCATGGCCCTGATTTGGTATAACGATATTTTGGCCTAAGCATTTGTGGTCTGATGAGATAGTAAGTCCGAGGTGAGAAATGTGCTTTCATGTTTTTCATTTTAAAAGAACATAATCGTGATGTACCTCTAACACTTTTAAAGACATTTTGAATAGAAATTCAACATAAGACCAAAGTATAGAAGTATCTCTCATACTTTGCATATTTTTAGATATATTTCAATTCCTATCCCTAAGATTCTCACTTAATCAATTGATAGACAAGTATGAAAACTTTACTTTTTAATTAAGTATAATTGTGAAAACTGCATTGCAAATGACAATGTCTTTTTTTCTTCTGGTTTTGACATTTCTAGAGGTGAAAGAGGCTAATAGCTTCATTTCAAAGTGAGAGTGATTAAACCACTCACCATCTAGAAGTGCTTCAACCACTAAATCCTTCCCCAACCCGTGTGCCGAGAGCTTCTTGACACAGGGCATCTTCTGTCATCTTTGCACAGAGCCAGTCATCTATGTGAAAACGAGCCTTCTCATTTAGATGATGTCTGTGTGGTATCAAAACTACTGGCAAATGAATCCATGCAATCAAAAATAAGCACACTGTTTAACAAAATCTAAAAATTATACTTCAAGCCATCATTTTGGTAACATGTAGCCAGCCTTGTCTCACAACAAGCACAAGTGTCTGGGTATCCTTGCCACGACGTAGACGTAGCCCTTGAGTGAGCATTTGGTTCTTGTGCGCTGAAGCCTGCCAACTCATTTTCAGATAACATTCTAGAAGACAGACCTGAAAGCAAATCGTGTAGCGACAAGCTTCAGTTTGAGTATAATGAAGAAATCCCCAAGAGGATAAAGAAAGCAGATAACTCTGCTTGCAACAAAGGAAAGGTGGGTGAATGGTTTCTGTTAAATTACACTTGGACCATGACACTCTTTGTCAGTTTCAGGTGGGATTTCCCTCCTTCCCTGCCCCTTCCCTTCACCTTTCCCCTCACTTTCCCTTAGATGCCAAACCCCACATGGTGATGCTATGGGACACCCACCTGCCATTTGTAGAAGGTTAGTCATTGATTCATCCAGCCAATACCTACTGAAGGTGTACTGGGTGGCAGACACTGAGGTGGTGCAGGAGGTGGTTTAGTGATGGAGCCCAACCCATAAACAATGCTTGTAGGTAAATAAAAGAGCAGTGATTTCACAGTGTTATCAGAGCATTAAGAAGATGATGTTGCAGAAGGAAGATTTAGCCAAACAGACAGAAACGGCATGCAGGCCAAGAGGACAGCCGGGTATGTTCAAGGAATTGCTAGGAGTTTGAAGATGTTGGGGATGACCAAGAAGATGAACGGGGCCAGATGGTGAAGTGTTAACAGAGGAAGGACACTGAGAATAGAAGGACAAATTAGATACCCAGACTCTACCCTCAAGGGCCTCACAGAACACACGCTCTGAGCAAATCTGTAGACGTAGTTGCAGTGAGAATGTTAGAGAACAAAAGAATAAAATATCAGAAATGTGAGCCACAGAAGATACCTGCTCGATTCTCTATTCATTCAGCAAATACGCACTGACTGTTCCACACTGGACTGTACCCAGGCGTCAGACTCACTTCTTGCTCTCAGAACGTTTTTACTCTAGGAAAGGAGTTAGGACACAGGGGTGAATGTAGAGCAAGGGGAAACCCACTGAGAAAGCAGCAGATAAAGGGTTTCTGGGTGGCATATACCTTTCATGTCAACTGGTGTAATTTCCCCTTGCTAGGTGTATGACATGGAGTTGGGAGAAGAATTTTATCTTCCTCAGAATAAAAAAGAAAGCAGACAGATTGCACCAGAGCTTTCCGACCTTGTCATCTATTGCCAAGCAGTAAAATTCCCAGGTAAGAGTAGTCAAACTCTTCTAAAACATTTAAAGGTGCCAAGAGATAAAAATACGCTATTTATTTAATTGGGTATTGTAAATATTCTCAAAATAGCTAAATTGTGTTGCTGAAATCATTGTTACAATACATCCTAAATATTTGTTATTATAATTTGCTGTGATGCTCATGAGGAAAATACCATAAAATATTTATTTTCCAGATCATATTATGACTTTTTATAGTAGTTAATAATGAAAATGATAATAAAATAATAATATTCATAACACCTAGTAGCTAAAATTTATTAAGCATTTAAGTACCAGGATTTGTGTATTTTACATACATCATCTTATTGCCTTCATAATAATTCAATGAGATATTGGGTTTATTCACCCTCCCCCTTTTTTTTGACAAATACAAAAGTTTATTTAACAAAAGTTCAATGTGAAAATGGATAGGACTAGATTTTTATATTGTAGTGAAGCAGGTGCTGGGGAGAGGGGACATATGGAAGCAGTTGATTTCTCTGGTAAACACAGCCATTCTTTGTACTCATTCCAAGGTTTCTAACATGATGATACTATTTCCTCATATTACCACCATTCCACTATTGTTCTGTTGCCCACCAGTTGCCATCTCCACACATTCATCTATCACAAGATTCATAAAGGGATCAAATCCCTGCAATATTCCTTGGACATGGCTGCCACCATTTAATTTCAATGATAACTTCTTGTCCATAATTTTTTTTTTTTTAACTCAGGAGGGTGAGCTTTGCTCATGGCATCTAAGTGAGCTCAAAGATACCTCCAAACAGAATTCATGGCCTCTCTGACACTCCTGCGGTCAGCCCAGCATTTGCTCCTGACGTCACCAATCTACTCCCCATTTTTAAATAAGACAAAGCCTGAGTGAGATAAAGTAATTGGCTCTAGGTTTCAGAGTGAAGCAGTTAAGACTCTTCTTTGAAAGTGGCAGAAATTGACTTACACAAAGAGTAAACTTATTGGCTCATGTATTGAAAAATGGGTACAGAAGTTTCAGGTATGGCTTGATCCAGGGCTCTCTCCCTATTTCTCACTGTCTCTGTCGTGTTGGCCCTCTTCCCTTTGGGCTGTAAGGCAGCTGCAGCAGGCCGGCACTACATGCTTCCAGATTCAGCTTCAGTGTAAGCCGCTCTTCCAGAACTTTCCGCAGCAGTTTGATTGTTTTTCACTGGGTCCTCTGCCCATTCCTGAACTAGTCATTGTGGCCCAGGGCAGGCAGTGCTCAGACTGTCCCAGGCCTCTGTCACCTGCCCCACCCCTGAGCTCCACCCAAACCACAAGGGGCGTTTCAGTGGGAGAAAAAGTTTCCTCAATTGGCCATTTCTAGAAGTAAAGTGCTGATAAACAGCTTTAAAAAAAGGGGGTGGGGTCCATTTCAGCTAACAAATGGCTTAACTAGGATTCTTGAGCCTGTCAATCTGCATTGCACAGCCTCGCCTCTCTTGTCAGGGCGTGTTGTCAGTGAGCTCACCCAGTGTGCATCCCACAAGGGGACAGCAGGAGGTGGAGGGCAAACAGGAGAGTCCATAACCTAGGAAGTCAGAAAAATCTACCTCTTTCTACTAAGAAAAAGGATTCTCTTGCAGAGGACAGGAAAGCTACTGGAATTGGGGGATTGTCTAAACCATTAGCAAACTTGGCCTGGAGAGGGTTAAAATACCAACCCTCATTTTTTTCAATATGGTCTGAATGCAGATCCTGGCTCCTAGAGGGTTATCTTAAGCATCAGTTCTCACACTCCGCCCTGAAATTGGGACAGAGGTATGGGCTATTTAAAAATTAGGTAATAGTGGTCTTTTTACACACCAGAAGGAAAAAAATCATAAATAGAACTTTCTCAATTTTAAGCTCTCTCCCATAAACTGGAGATTTTGGCAGCTGCTGCTGCTTACCTGTTGGCAAATTCTGTTGAGGAGAATATGAATGAATAATTGGCAAGCAGAGATCTCGAAGACATGCAGGAACCTAGCCATTGAGGTGTAGTTTCACAGACCAGGCCTTCTTTCACATAAGTACAATGTGATCATATTTGCAGCTGGTGAAAGTGTTCTTATGATGAGGAAAAATCCTTTTCCTGTCAAAAGAGCCTCATGGCCTGCGTGTCCTTCATCACAGGAACAAGTGTGAAGGTCACTTCGTTCAAGAATCACACTCACTGCCTCTCCTGTTCTTTATAAATTCAGCTCACACTACACCCAAACCACCCCACAGGCTTGGTCTTTTCTTCTCAAGCACCGAGTAGATAAAGAGCAAAAATGCCCAAATTTTGGAAGAGTCAAAGGTCATTGGGACCAACCTCTGACTGGAGGCACAGGATACGCGTGGCGTTATTTGGCTTATTTTTAAAACTAGAGGCCGCGTGCACGGATTCGTACACTGGTGAGGTCCCTTGACCTGGCCTGCACCCTCTCGCAATCCGGGACCCCTCGGGGGATGCCGGAGGCCCAGTGCATAGTCGGCCGGATCCCCGCAGGCCGATCTTTGGTTAATCTCTTCCCGCCTTTCCCCCACCCCCTTCCTTCTGAGATTTATCAGTCTGTTCCATGTTTCCATGCCTGTGCATTGAGCATCTGCCCCTGGTGGTCAGTGTGCATCATAGCTATCGGTTGAATGGTCACTTAGGCTTTTATAGATATAGATTCCCAATATGCTGTTCTTTTAAAGTGTTTAAATGGCACGCAGTCTTTATAAGACATACTGTAGTTTAATTTTTTTTAGTAATTGAAATTTCGGACATTTTTCTTTACTTCCTTTCTCAAAACCACTAAATTGTGTTGCTAGAATCATTGTTACACTACCTTCTACATATTTATGATTATTATTTGTTCTGATGCTATGGGGGAAAATACCATAAAATGTTCATTTTGCTACACTATGGATTTTAATTTTGCTACATTATCCATTTCAATGAATCTCACCCTTCACCATCCCAAGTCCCATCCACAGAGGCATGTGCAAAAGTATCTTCAGAGCAGTGAGGCAGCATGAAGACCACGTGGCACGACCTTCCCCAGAAGTACAGTAACCTCCCCAAGATCAGGAACCCGCTTCAGTGGCAGGATTCCACTCCTCAGTGACCTTGACTACAGCAGTTAGTTAACCTCTCTGCACTTCAGAGGCCCTTCCAATAAAAGAGACAGAACAGTCCTCACTTGCAGGGTTGTCGTAAACATTAACAATAAAGTACCTAATGTGACTAGCACACTATCTACAGGTAGTTGGCTCACTGGAACTGATGGTGGTTGCTATTCTTATTGATAAACTAGAGGCCCGATGCACAAGATTTATGCAGTGGGGGGAAGGGAGGGGGCAGTCAGACATCCCTCTCGCAATCTGGGACCCCTCGCTCCTAACCACCCACCTGCTCGCTCCTAACCACCCGCCTGCTCGCTCCTAACTGCCTACCTGCTCGCTCCTTACCGCCCGCCTGCTTGCTCCTTTCTGCTTGGCTCGCTGCTCCTTAGTGCTGCCGTAGAGGAGGGAGAGGCTCCCGCCACCACTGTTGTGCTCACCAACCGTGAGCCTGGCTTTTGGCTGAGCAGCGCTCCCACTGTGGGAGCGCACTGACCACCAGTGGCAGCTCGTACATTAAGCGTCTGCCCCCTGGTGGTCAGTGCGCATCATAGAGATTGGTCGTTCTGGTCGTTCCAGTCGTTCCGCCATAAAGATCACTGAGCTTTTACATATATAGATGGGCCAACAGGGCAGATTCCTCCCCTCTCTTGATCACCAGCCCGTGTTCCCGCTTCCTCGCCCCACCCGGAGAGAACAGCCAGGCTGTTCACAGAAGGTCCCACATATCCCTGGGGAATGTCGACGTGGGCCAGGATGTGTGCAAAACTCCCAGAATGAACACGGGGCCTCACTCTGACCTCTCATCAGTTTTACTTGGGAGAAAATCTACTATTACATCATTGTGTAGAGGGCAAAGTTCACACAAAATTTTAAGATAAAGCATGAAAACTCTCTAGTGCAAGTTAGCACGTCTTTGTGGTTAAGGATACTTCAGAGAGAAAAAAATTTAGAAGCCCCATAGCTGCTATGAACTGAGCACTTTCTCTGAACAAGTCACTCGACTGAGTATGTAAATATACATGATCTCATTTCATCGTGACCACAGCCCTTTTATAGGTGAGCAAGGAGTGCAGAGGGTTCGGTAGCTTGTGGGCGGTCACACCACTAGGAACTGGGTTTAAACCCCAAAGTCTATGCTTTTATGAAACACTCCTTTATCCTGTCTTCTCTGATGATGTTTTTGGAAGGTGTATTTTCATCTCAAAGAGAGCCTCCTGAACACTGCTCCAGCTGAAGGAATTATTATCTAATGCAGTGGTCAGCAAACTGTGGCTTGCGAGCCACATGCGGCTCTTTGGCCCCTTGAGTGTGGCTCTTCCACAAAATACCATGTGCGGGCGCGCACGTACAGTGCGATTGAAACTTCGTGGCCCATGCACAGAAGTCGGTATTTTGTGGAAGAGCCACACTCAAGAGGCCAAAGAGCTGCATGTGGCTCGCAAGCCTCAGTTTGCCGACCACTGATCTAATGGTACAATGTAGACAGTGGAAACAGTTGGGAGGCCACGGGCTTGCCTGGTGCCTTTAACTCACTCTTCCTGCACTGGATCCAGATCTGCATGGTGTGCATTCATTTCCTCGTTCAGCAAATATCTGTTAAAGTGCTGCTGCGCGCCAGGCACTGTGCCAGGCAGGAAGGAGTCAGGGAGTGATTGGACCAGGAGTGAGAAAGAGAAGCCGTGAGACATCACTGTCATTTAACATATTTCTCGTTTAATCCTCAGACTATGCCTGTGAGTTCCTATCTTTATACCCATTTTGTAGATAAGGAAACTGAGGAACAGCGAAGGTGGATATTAAGTCAGGGCTCGTAATGGCAGGAATTCAACCTAGACAATGTGATGCTAAAACTCGTGCTCCGAGCCATTCTTTCATCTCTCAAAATTGAGTAATTTGGTCCTGATAATTCAGTGTTGACTGGAGCACTTTCTTTTTATGCATTTTTTCAAAATCTTTCTGGTGCACCATCAGGTGGGTGTGGGTGCTATTTTGCGGTCATTCTGTATAACCCTGCAGTTCTTGTCACATTTGCCCACAGAGATAAAAACTTCACTCTAAAGCCTGCAATGCTGCTATTAACGGTGTTGAGAATGCGAGTGGGTCCTCTGAGCAGGGTTACCAGGGAGTAGTAAGACTTCAAAGTAAACATGGACAGGGATGGAAAATGTCGAGTTCCCTCGCTTGTAGTTTTTGGCTTATTTATTTTCATTTTATGGGAACAGGCCTGTCAACTCTAAATGCATCTGGCTCTAACAGAGGAAAAGAAAGGAAAAGCAGGAAGTCCATTTTTGGCAACAATCCGGGCAGAATGAGCCCTGGGGAGACGGCATCACTTAACAAAACATCTGGAAAAAGTAAAGTCACCTTCTTTCAATACCTTTGCTTGATTCCGCATGCTGGATAAGTCCAACATTTTACTGTCGAAGCACTTCCCTTGAACTTCTATTTTTTTTATTTCCATGAATGTTTATGTTATCTAAGTGTAGTAGAAATATTTTTCAATTTTACATGTTTAACTTCCTAAAAAATAGCACTTCACTGAAGATGTTCTAACAGTGTTTGCCTCAATAGGGAAAAATTGGAACCACCTTGGAACATTCTAGTGGTTCTTGGAACTGCTCTCGTCACCATTATAACTCCAGAAGATATATCCATTTTATTACTAATTACTTTTTATTATAAAAGTAATAAATTCTCATAGTTAAAAAAAAACTCAAACAATATAGGGTACGATTAAAATTCCTTTCTATTCTCAATGGCTCAGTTCTAGTCCCCTGAGGTAACCACTGTTAGGTTTATTGTGTTTTGTTCAAGAAGAATACGATTCTTTTTAAGATGATCCCAATGGGATACAACCGAGCATATTTGTATAACTTTTATATTGCTGTAACTTTCCAAACAGCTTTCTGAGCATATATCTACCTTATTCTCATTATGCCTCTGTGGTTTTCCATTGTGTATATACTGTCATTTAACCACTTCCTCACTGGTAGAACATTTGGATTGCTTCCTGGTTTTTTTGTTGCTGTTTTTTCCTTATAACAAACGCTAAAGTGAATACCCTTGTACATATATTGCCATGTATTGTTCAAATATATCCACAGGACAGATGAGGCAAAGGATTTCCAGGCTTTTAACTTAAATTGGTGCTTCTGCACTCATTTTAAAACTCAATAGCTATCATTTTGTTTCAAGGTGGTGGACTAACTCAAGTATAGTATAACACTACTGTAGTGTAACTGAATAGTGTAACACTATTAAGATCTACTCTGATGTGTTACATGGTTATGATTGTTTTACCGAGATGTTGTTCAGGTTTATCTTTCTAAAACATTTAAAGTGTCCTGCACTAATCCGAGGCTAATCTTTTGGGGGGTTTAGGTTCCTATGAAGGAATGCGACAGGCCTGGGAGGAGTCTTCTTCCCCCCTCAGCCCAGCCACGTCCCTCAGCGCTATCATTAGAACTCCCAAATGTTACCATATCTCATCGCTGAATGAAAATGCCGCCAAACGTCTGTGTCGCAGGTATTCTCAGAAACTGATCCAGCACACCGCCTGTCAGCTGCTGAGGACTTACCCGGCTGCCACCCGCATCGACTCCTCCAACCCCAACCCCCTCATGTTCTGGCTGCACGGGATACAGCTCGTGGCACTCAACTACCAGACAGATGGTAACGGCCTGCTCCTCACCTCTCTCCTTTGGGCCTTATGTTTCAGGAAACATAGTTCAACAAACAACATTTTAGTTAAGGGGGGCAAGATGCCAGACTGGGGCACACCATATGTAAGAGCAAAAATACTGGTGCATTTGATACTGAATTGTGCCCTTGATGTTTCAGAGTTAAGGTGATAGGAAAGAACCTTAAAGGGGTCCCTAGTAATCTCTTGTTCTTGCTCCCTTTTTAAAGCATTTTTTAAACATAAGGCTACTCTTTAGTGTCTTTAAATAAGACACTGTTTAGGGCCGTGTCTAGTTTGTGTCTAAAGACCTTTTGGGGCAGAGAGTTACTAACACCCTTTGGTAAGCTGTCTTGCTAAGCTGTTCCTTGCAGTCAATAAGTAGTTGTCACTCCAAGAAAATTGCATGTTAGCTTCTTCTTATCCATTGAGATTGAAATGGAGAATAATGGTCATTGCTCCCAGAGTAGCTCACATGGAGAAAACAAGTGTGCGAACCAAGAAAGCAGTGTTTGTTTTTCTCACTGTTGAGGAAACTCTCTTAGCAGGAATACCTGATGAGGCCCGACGTCCAGAATAAGAGCTACCATTCATTGCACACTTACCGTGCGACAGACACCGTGCTGAATTTTCCCTGACCCCCTCTTATCTGATTTAATCTTTGCACCAACCCTAAGTGGTGGACACCTTTATGATCCCCACTCCTCAGATGAGCAAACCAAGGCACAGAGCGATTGATTTGCTCAAGGTCACAGAATGACTAGTAATAATAAATTCAAGGACTCTGGGAGTGGAGAGGATAAAGTATTTTGTTTCTACTTGGTTATGGGGGCAGGAAGGGAGCTGCAGAAGATAAAGAAACAGTCGATGAGGAATGTTTCCTCGAAGCACCTTCAGAAGCCACAGTCTTTCCTTGGGACAGCCAAGCGGCCTTCTCGTTCCTCTCACGTCACCTGAATCAGATCCTAAGCAACCATGCTGACCCGCCAGCCACAGCATAGCCCCGTCTCCAGCCAAGGTCAAACCACACCTTTCGCTCTCGAACCAGCTAGCCACCTGGTACTGGTGCCAACAGTGCCCATGTGTGGCTGACCCTGCCGACGCATTTTTTTTTTTTTTTTTGCCCTTGTTATATTTGCTTCTTTCCATTGAAATTAAATAACACGATGCAGGTGAAGTATCCTACTTAGCATAGTGGCTGGCACAGAGAAAGCATTCCACAAACGTTAACGATGATGAAGTGTTTTTGATAAGTTATGAAAACAGTAGGATTTGGACTCGCAAGTGGAAATAATAATGAAATATTTTCAAAGTTGTAAAAGTTTCTTTTCAATCTGTCCCAAGTGGCTTGCGGGCTCACATCTCTGACCCTGTCTGTAGCCCTTCGGCGCCCTTGGTTATTATGATACTGAAATATTTTAAGTCCAGTGAAATCACTAGCAAGATGGTTTTCTCAAGGAAATGGAAATGCGTTTGGTTTTGGATGTGCCCGCTCTCCTGGGCGTGCCAAGGCTGGTGCAGACACACCGGCTCCACCGATGGCAGAGGGAGCCGCCGCCGAAAGGAGCTGCCCCTCCTGGCTCTCTCCACCACCACCCACCGCCCCCAGGTCCCGAAGCACACACTGAGGCTGCAGCTTGGCCTTCACTCACCCCTGAAGGCTTTGCCTCTCTCCCAAATCAATCTGGGAGCACATGTTCGAGCTGCCTCCTCAGGGGAGACAGATGGCTCTGTTGATGGTTCATCCTCAAGTTTCTCTACAGAGTCTTCCAGCCCAGGAGAGTGCTGCCATAATGCCTCGCTGGCCCAGTGCCGCAGGCAATGATTACACGCATCCCCACGCTGGACAGAGCACAAGCCACAGGCAGTTTCACCATGTTCACCTGTGAAAATGGTCTTCATTTGCACAAACTGGGCATAGAGCCTGGCTAATATCTTGCACGCAGTAGGTGCTCAATAAATGCACGCTGAGCTGAAACAGACTATCCCCCTCTGCCCCACTGCAGTCTGAGCCTGTGGTTCTTGGGTTTTTAGGTACTTTTCTGTGGATTGCAGGTCCAAATAGATCAGAGTCTATTGGACTCATTATCTTTTAATTTTTACAAAGAATTCCTAGATTAGGGAGCGCTTGATTTTCCATGAAACATCCCAACCAAGTAACAGAGAACCCTCTCCCAGTGTCCCTCTAGCCTCCGACTGTGTTCCATGGATCATCAGCCTTGCCACTTCCTGGATGTCAGAGGACCCTGATGCCCCAAAGGAGTGTCCATTGACTTAGGGTCATCTCTTCCCAGAATTTCTAATGGCTCCATCATCTTCAAGAAGGTCTGCGGTGATCTGGAGCCAGGAATAGCCCAGGTCTGCACTCAAGGAAACCAACTCTTGAGTTTGGAAACTGACTTGAGCCTGGTATGCAAACCTGGTGATGGCTGGCAACAGTCCCTCAGCATTCTTTCCACCTAGAGCAGAACAAGTGTAAGGACATGCGACCCCATCAAAAGAAAAGCTGTTAATATGGATCCTGCTTTCCTGAGTGATTGTCAAACTCTTTATGATGACTTTTCTAGCCCCAAAGTATAGGCATCATTATTACGGGATTGGTGCCTACTTAATACAGGGTTTTTAAGTAAATAGGAGACCATAAAGGTACTGAAAAGCCTGATCTGCCTCACAGGCATTGACTGAGAGGGGCGATCAGGTGACACGGATTCACGCACCCTCCTTCACTTGCTTACAACAGGGGTTTTACTAGTAAAACGATAGCCCTAGGTGGAGTTCTGGGACCATGCCTAGGGGGCAATTGGAGGGCTAGATTTGAGGTCCCACCTTTATTCCAAAATGAGCAGCTCCGCCTGCATCTGGTTTACTTGTTGGATTACTAAATGAGATTAGCCTCAGCTGGTTTGGCTCAGTGGATAGAGTGATGGCCTATGGACTGAAGGGTCCCGGGTTTGATTCCAGTCAAGGGCACGTACCTCGGTTGCAGTCTCCATCCGGCCCTGGTCGGGGCCTGTGCAAGAGGCAACCAATCGATGTGTCTCTCCTCTCACATCAATGTTTCTCTCTCTGTCTCTCCCCCTCCTTTTCATTCTCCCTTAAAAAAAAAAAATCAACAGAAAAATATCCTCGGGTGAGAATTAACAACAGAAAAAGAAAAAGTTTGGGAAAGTATAAGGATCAGACTTCAAACCCAAATGGGAGTTGACATCATAATCATAATTTATTACCTACTGTTTATTGAGATCTTCTATGTGCCGAATGCTCGGTAGAGACTTGCACACGTTTTCTCATTTATGACACGCCTGTGAGGTGTACACTATACGGCTCAGTTGTTGAGATTGGATCAGATTGCTGGGGTTTAAACCCCAGCATCCACCACTTAGTAACTGTGTGCCTTGGGTTCTTTCACTTCTTGTGCCTCAGTTTCCTCATCTATAAAATGGGAAGCACTGATGTACATAAAGTGCGTGGAATGGGGCCTGGTACACAGTAAGAGCACAGTAAGGGTGAGCTGCTATAATTTTTAGTAATATACAGTGGGGCCTTGACTTACGAGTGTCCCGACTAACGAGTTTTTTGAGATACCAGCTGTCTCTCTGCCAATTTTTTGCATTGAGTTGATAGAGTAATTTGAGTTAACGAGCTCCTGAACTAGCTCCTTAACGAGCTTGGTCTCGGAACGAATTAAACTTGTAAGTCAAGGCCCCACTGTATATCCATTTCACATTCATCAACTCTGCATGAGCTAGCCTGCTTCGCTCTCTTAGCCATCCTAGCCCAGGTCTATGTTCCTCTGTCACAGGGTGGCCTGGGAAGAGAATTCTCTCGTCCTGCAGGCAAGACAGCCTCAACGAATCAGTCACATCAGGACTGAACGGGCCTGAGAGGTGGGGTCCAGGGCACTGATTTTATAGATAAGGAGACCGAGCCCACGTAGCTTTCCTATGCCTTAGACATCTGACCCCAAGGATTCCTGCCTACAATCCCAGCCAACCCCACGTACATGGAAAAAATTTTACACACAAGACATGTGGAGGCCAACTTCTTATTGCTCCGTGGTGCTCACCACACTTTTCCTTGATGTCTGTCCATGTAGCACAGTCCGCTCTGCACATGGAAGGAATCTATCAGAGGGAACATTTGTCAGGTGTGCCTCATAAACCCTGTGTTCATCTGGGCAACCTTTCTACAGACTTGCGCCATCAGATGAGCATTTGTGTGTGTCAGAGCCCAAACCAGTGCGGGAGTCCAACGTTCATCCAAGAACCGTGCCAAGTAAAAGCTGGCCACAGACGACTGGAAGCCGTTGTGAGGGTTCCCAGGGTTTACGATGGAGGGGATGGATCATGGACACGATGTGAATCACATGTGATAATAATTTTTTTCATATTTAACTGCAATTAAAAAGAGGTAGAAGTACTGTAATTTATGGGTTGAAATTGAGATTTCATGGAAAGATATATTTTTCTGGCTCTTCTCCCAGTCTGTCTTGGATTATTAAGATTTTTATCTTATATTTGCAAAGGCAAGAATTGGTCATACAGTTGTCTGCATGGTTTAGTGTTCGGGGATAAGAAAATGCCATGACTATTCCTTACTAAAATTCTGTATAAAATGAGGTATTGCAAAGATTTTTTTTTTTCAGATGGATGTTGTAAATTTTGATTTGCAAAAGGAGTTTTTAAGTGGCAGAACCTGGGTGGGAGTGAGACACTGGGCTTATCCCATAGACTGAACCCCGAAAAGACAGGGATCTTGGTCTTGTTACCTGTTGTATCTTTTGTACCTAACAATCTGGCACATAGTAGCCACTCAGTCAGTCCCTTCTTCATGCTTAAACTTGGGGAAAATTGATACAAAGTTCTTTTGAACTTTACTTTTTTTCTTAATACATTTTTTATTGTTGATAGCATCATAGATCTCTCCCATTTTTCCCTCCTTCACCCCACTCCTTCCCCCATGTCTTCACTACCCTATTGCCCATGTCCACGGGCTCTGCATATAACATATAAGTTCTGACCTTGACATTCATAAGCGACAGAGTAACAAGCAATGTTGACTTTGTTTTGCAGATCTCCCTTTACATTTAAACGCTGCCATGTTTGAGGCCAACGGTGGCTGTGGCTATGTGTTGAAACCCCCAGTTCTGTGGGACAAGAACTGCCCCATGTATCAGAAGTTTTCTCCCCTGGAAAGAGACCTGGACAACATGGAGCCCGCCGTCTACTCTTTGACTGTAAGTGTGGCGGTGTCTCCAGGAGATGGCAAGGCGCTTCCGCCTTCCTGAATATGCGCTGGTTTTGAATTCAGGGCATTGCATAGTTCTCGTGTCACCGTTTTGTTTGTGCAGATTTAGTTCCCGGAAGGATTTCTTTACCTGTCACAAGCGGTGGCTGTGGCTGAGGTATGCTGTCGCCTGGCACTGCATTTGCCAGTGCCCGGCAGGTGGAGCTGTGAGTTCCCTGCTTCGCCTGCACGCTGATGGTGGTGATTCTGTCTTCCAGGGCCCGCAGCACCGTCATTCTGATTTTCTCCCATAAAAGTTGAGCTCCTTGTTAGAGCAGGTCATCTTAAACTCGAACAGGCTCTCGTAAGATCAAACGGGCATCGATATACAAATCAATTAAATATCTTTCCTCCTTGCAATTTAAACTGTATCGTTCCTGGGCCTTTCCTTATTTCTTTTATTGCCTAATTAACCCCATGTCAAAACACCACAGACTGCCCTTAACAACAGCCCCCGGCAGCTCATCATTCAACTTTATTTCCCCATTCTGTCGCTACCTCTTAGCGGACAGAGAACAAGACCTCTGGATGGCTAATCGCTGCCCTCCAACCTTAGAACTTGTCCGTTTCCCTCCAAAGGAAGAATGCCAAGCAGCCTCTGATCACCCCTCTCACACCCCGGGAGAACCACGCTCCGGTTTTCCTACCACCTCTGCTTTCTCCTTCCCGAAGACCAGGGCAGGGGGCCTCCTCTGTTTGACCAAATTAGCTAGACTCGAGTAGACGTTTAACTGTGTACAGAAGGCTGTGGATAAATTTTTAAAAACATTCCCTGTGAGTTGCTGTAAAACTAAACCATTCAAGAAAATGGCTTTGAACAGAATGTTCGCAACCAATTTGTGATTGCATTCCGTAAAGTCTCCCCGTTTCCCTGTGCCTTCTTGAGAAACTTGATTTCATCTTAATTGCTTGGCTTTGAAGATACTTGAACATTTTGACAGTTGAAAAGTGACAGGTGAATGCTGGTGACAAAATAAGCTTTTCCCATGATTCCAGGCCTGTGGTTGCCTGGTTGCAATCACTTCCTGCTTTGGGGGGGGGGGGGGGGGGGTAGCAGATTTATTCACCGTGGACCTCGTCCATTCCAGAGTGTTCTTTGTGGAGGGAAGCGGTGAGGTGCAGAGGTTGCCTTTGTTTCTTTTTCATCTTCAGTGACCTGGTCCTTGCTTCCTCCCTCAGATTGTCTCTGGCCAGAACGTGTGCCCGAGCAACAGCACAGGAAGCCCGTGCATCGAGGTCGACATCCTGGGCATGCCGCTGGACAGCTGCCACTTCCGCACGAAGCCCATCCACCGGAACACTCTGAACCCCATGTGGAACGAGCAGTTTTTCTTCCGGGTTCACTTTGAAGACCTCATATTTCTTCGTTTTGCAGTTGTGGAAAACAACAGCTCGGCGGTCACTGCTCAGAGGATCATCCCGCTCAAGGCTCTAAAGCGAGGTAGAGTAGCATCATCATGCTGTTAATAATTACTGTAGCCCAGCCCGCGTGGCTCAGTGGTTGAGCATCAACCTATGAACCAAAAGGCCACAGTTCGATTCTCGGTCAGGGCATATGCCCGGGTTGTGGGCTTGATCGCCAGTAGGGGATGTGCAGGAAGCAACCAATCACTGATTCTCTCTCATCATTGATGTTTCTATCTCTCCCTTCTTCTCTGAAATCCATAAAAATCTATAATAATAAAAGCATAATATACTAATTAGACCGGACAGCCAAACAACCTTCCGGATGAAGACACGGCAGCAGGGGCCGAGGCAGAGGTGGTTAGGGGGGGTCAGGCAGGCAGGCAGAGTGGATGGGGCGATCAGGCAGGCAGGTGAGCAGTTAGGGGCAATCAGGCAGGCAGGCAGAGTGGTGAAGGGCAATCAGGCAGTCAGGTGAATGGTTAGGGGTGACCAGGCAGGCAAACAGGCAAGCGGTTAGGGGCAATCAGGCAGGCAGGCGAGTGGTTAGGGGTGATCAGGCAGGCAGGCAGAGTGGTTAGGAGCCAGCAGTCCCAGATTGCGAGAGGGATGTCCAACTGCGGGATCAGGCCTAAACTGGCAGTCGGACATCCCCTGAGGTGTTCTGGATTGCGAGAGGTACAGACTGGGCTGAGGGTTTCCCCTGACCCCTGTGCACAAATTTCATGCACTGGGCCTCTAGTATATTATAAAAATAAAAAATAATTACTGTAGCTCAATGATGGATGCCATAGAGCTCTTTAGACTGTTCTCTCTACTTTTGAGTGTATGTTTGAGATTTTCATTTTTAAAAAGTTGAAATAAGAGGCAGGAAAAAAACACAAATTTGAATACTGTTTAAGTACATCTCATAACAGGTTTTCTTTTACGTTATCCTCAAATTCGAGGTATTCACATTTCTGAGGAAGTATGGCCTCTACCGCCGCTGCTGATGTCGAGAGCTGTGGTGGTTGGCCCTTCTCCCCTCACATCCCTGCCCAAATAGCATCCACTGCACCCCTGGCACTTTTTTATTTTTTTTTTTTAGTAAAGATAACTTCACTTTTTTTTTTATCCTCACCCAAGGATATGTTTATTGATTTGAGAGAGAGAGGAAGGGAGAGGAACATCGATGTGAGAGAGAAATATAAATCAACCAGTTGCCTCCCATATGTGCCCCAACCACACCCTGATGGGAGATGGAATCTGCAACCTTTTGGTGCACGGGATGAGCTCCAATCAACTGAGCCCCCCTAGCAGGCCCCCCTAGCACTTTTCAAGCTGAGACTGAAGTGAGCAGAGGAAACCAAGAGGAGGGCGGTAGAGGCAGTGGCTCACTGGCCAAGAGTGGAATCAGTGCCTGGCAGAAGTTCAGTGTCGGAAGCCAGGGATGGGTGCTGGGGACAGAGCAGGGCGGTTGGAGAACCCTGAGCAGAGGCGGAGCTGGTGGCTGGTGGACTGGCTTTGCTGTGGGCCTCCGGGGAGCTTCTGCGGCCGCAGCTGTTGTTCCACTTATTTATGCATTCATTGGTTGATTCTTGCATGTGCCCTGACCAGGGATCAAACCCGCAACCTTGGAGGATCGGGACTACGCTCTAACCAACTGAGCTACCCAGCCAGGGCCTCTGCCTACCATTTTGCGGCAGAGCTCCGCAGTGCATGGCTAACAGGCTTTTCCCAATTCTGCGTTATTCCAGGATATCGACATCTTCAGCTGCGAAACCTCCACAATGAAGTCTTGGAAATCTCTAGTTTATTCGTAAACAGCAGAAGGATGGAAGAAATCTCCTCTGGCAGTTCCGTGCCGGCCTCTTTGGTAATTAAGCTCTGTTTCACTCAGCATGTCTGTGGGGATTGCTGTGCTGGAGGTAGGCTTGCTCATGATACAGGAAGGTGATCATTAGGTAGCTATGGGAATAATAATAATGACTGGCATTGGCATGTCTAAGCACTTTACATATATGAATTCACCTAGTCCTCTCAATAACTTTTTTATGAAAGAGCTTTGAGTATGGTCTTCGTTTTACAGATGAGGAAGGTAAGAGCTAAGTACCTCGGAGGTCACACAGCTATAAACCCAAGTTCACCTAGTGCTAAGCCCATACTCTTTTTGTTTTTATGTGTTTGTTTGTTTTTTTAATATGTTTTTATTGATTCTTAGAGTGGAAGAGAGAGGGAAAGAGAGATAGAAACATTAATGAGAGAGACATCAATCGGCTACCTCCTGCATGCCCCTTACTAGGGATCAAGCCTGCAACCTGGGCATGTGCCCCTGACCAGGAATTGAACCCAGGACCTCTTGGTCCGTGGGACGATGCTCAATCCATTGAGATATAGCAGCCAAAGCCCATACTCTTAATATGAGCCAAAAATAACATGTGGGCAAGAAGTTAATTAAGCAAACCTGCTAGGGAGCATTCAGTTCTCTTAGAAATTTTAGGTTAGACCAGGAAAATCTTCTGCTTCTTCAGGGGTCCAGGGGTGGGTGCCAGGTGAGCAGGGTTGGGGTGGCAGCCAGGTGCTGCTGTTGATACATAACTGCCCCCTGGCAATTGGGGAGATACGGGATCTGCACTCGTGGGGATGAAAAGGGTACACTGCAAACAAAAGGTGCCATCACTGCAGAATCAGCATTTTAACAAGTTCCCCAGGTAAGGTTCTTGCCCATTGAGGTTCGAGAGCCATAGGACTTGCGCTCACTCCAATAATCCAGGGTTGATGACTAAACCAGTGACCCCGCTTTAATAAACTGGTTCATTCCATTATGCTTGCTCTTTAAAAATTAGTTTAAAGGCTGTTCATCGATTCCCTCTTTATACACTTAACAGCCTGATCTCTGTCATATCCACCTTACACTTTAACGTAGTCCTAACAACCCCTGGAAAGGCACCTTCTATGCTCACGGTGGCGCTGACTCGACCACCGCCGCTCCCACCATCAGTTAGCCGGGCTTTCTTCTCCGTTTCTCTTTCCCTCCCCTCGTTAGTTTCTTCTCTCTCTGTCTCTGACCTTGTTTCCCTAGCTTCTCCTCCTTTTCCCTTCAATGTGTGGCCAAGGTTAAAAACAGCACTTTGGCCAAAGTGGAGGGAGGTATTGCCTGCCTTGTGCAGAGGACTGGGAACCAGGGACTGGGCTGCCTGGCACCTAAGAGCCAGAACCAGATGCTTTCAGAAGGCAAGGCAGGGCTTCCTGCACAATCCCGGGTTGGTCACCCTCAGTACCTATCAGAGCTGCAGATGCCACACGTGCCATGAAAGAGCCGTTTTTCCTCACAATACTTCTGCTGACACCAAATGTGTCGTGTCTTTTCCAGCTTTGCTTCTCCAACTCCCCGGCACCAGCTGGCTGACCTAGCTTTTGGTTCAATGCTGACATTATCTACCTGGAGTCAGCATCAGACCCTACAAGTTAAGGGCTCAGTCCTGCAACACTACCCACATTTCCCATGCCAGTTGCAAGTCCCTCCTCCGGTTCCGTAATTTGCTCAAATGACTCTCGCAGAACTTAGGAAAGTGCTTTACTTACTAGAATATTTTATTTATCATCTTACCATCCGAAATTCTAGTCCAGCGCCCTCAAGAGAGATGGAACTCAATAACACTGTTGGATGTCAGTTCAGAAATAAGGACTAATGTACATTTTAGATGATATCAGTTCCATACTTATGATGGAAAGAGATAGTGTCTTGTGAAATAAATTAATAGTGTGGTGGTGTGCTGCTACACATCCTCACTAGACTATTAAAGAAGACACACCATCGCTTCTTCAACCACAAAACGATGGGTCAGGGTGTGAGGGATGCTAGAATGGCTCTGTATTGACATGTCCCTGTAAACACCTCTAAGAATGAGCACCTCAGTGGTGAATATAGCCTAGAATTTGCATCCGAATGAGAATGAATGAGAAACCATGTGATCTTCCTTGACAGATGTTTAGTACAGAAGAAAGAAAATGTCTGCAGACTCACAGAGTCACGGTGCATGGCGTCCCAGGTCCGGAGCCCTTCACTGTTTTCTCTATAAATGGAGGCACTAAGGCAAAGCAGCTGCTCCAGCAAGTAAGTGCACTGAGTCTGTGTGTGTGTGTGACTACATACATACAAATACACAAAAGTCCACGTTGACGATTTGCCTTTTGATTATTTGTGATATCCAACCTCGAGATCCACCCTACAGGTGACCTGAGAGGTCTCGGTACCTCTAAACAAGCTACCTTAACCTGTAGAGAAGAATTTCTAAGACTTCTTCAGCCACATACAGAACACTGGGCACTAGAAGGATAAAGACCAGGATGAGTGGCTCTCCAACCTTGTGTACTGTTTCCCTCTGAGCCTAGATTCAGGCCTCATAGTCCCTCTTAATGCAGAGCTTACTAATCAACCAGAATTTGCACATGAACTGAATGAAGTCTGCTTGTCATTCTAGGAGTTGGGTCAAATTCTTAGAGCATCAGGATGGACCATATAGGCCAAGATATCTTCTGCCCCTCCAGCCTCAGGCCTCCATTTGCATGTTGATCAGCCACCTTGTCCCCCTCCCTCTGCACTCGATCATGACTTTTAAAGTTATACCCCTCTAGTGGTATGAAGAGGCATGCAGGTCCCAAAACAAGAGGATGAGAGCCTGTTAACCCAACCCCCATAGCAGAACTGGCCTAAGTCCTCTCATGCTGGGCTTCTGCCCTGGGTTCCTGGGGATCTTGGTGGCCTTCTACCGGCAGAGACAGTGCCCCTCAGGAGGACTTGTAAGAGGGAAAGAGCCAGACACAAAGAGCAGCATCCGGAGAGGGAGGCAGCCCCTCAAAAGAGCAAGGCAGGCCCATGTGCAATTCCTGCTCTCTTCTCACTAGGAGTGCCACTCCTGTGTGGTACAGTAGCCTAGTATCCTTGCAGACTATTTCATCCTTAGCCCATTTCAGAATCCCTTCTTCTCCTTGGAGGTAGGCCAAGGGGAGCTGCTACCGAGGGACCAACTGTGGAGCCCCCTCTGAAGTTAGGGCATATGACGCACTGCCCCTGCGATCATGGAAGGGTTGGGGGTTAAAAACCCATTGATGAACCACACATACTAAGTGTTAATAAGTAGTTCTGTCCTATGAGGGGTAGTCTCTATGGACAGGCCAACTTTCCCCCGAGATCTTATAATTGACTTAGACTCAGAGAAAATAGCTCCCATGTCAAATGTCATAGACTATCTAACAGAAACTACTCCCAAGTTGGGGTTGTTTTGGGATTTTTGTTTTCTAAATCAATCAGTCTATGAACTTTAGTGTCTGCTATCGCAAAGCACTGTTGGGGTTTGGGGGACTCTATAAAATATGAAGTTATAAAGCAAGAAGACTTTTCCATGGACCACCCATAAAAAGCAGCCCATTACTTCGTTGCCACCCCATATAAAGCAGCACTGAGGAGAGAGGGACTGCTCCCGGCTCCAAGGAGCCTTGCGTGTTGTTGCCTTGCCCCCGTGGAATCCAGAGCCCAGCACCCGTTCCCAACCAAGGGCTCGGGGGAAGGGAACAGCCTTCCTGAGACTCTCCTGCCCCCTCCATCCTCAGTTCATTCTTTTCCTCCAAGTGAGACACAGCAGCAACAGGTGTTGAGGAGAAAGGTGTTGACTTCACCAGGCCAGATGGTGGCAGCCTTCTCTTGGCACCCACTTCGCCTTTAGTCTTTTGTCAGGAACCTGTACGATCTGAGTGTGAAAGGGTATATCAGCAAGAGGAACTGCAGTGATGGCTCAAGGCTATTGAGTTCTCATGCTGTGCCCACGCTCTGCTTTATAAACAGTGTCTCGATCATACAACAAATCATAAAATTAAGAGGTTGTACTGTGGAAGCAGAAAAATAATTTTCCTCCCACCTCCTAAGTTCTCCTGGCTGGACCTATAATCAAATTAACATAAGACCGATTAACAGGAGAAAATAACCAATCTATCACATATGTACACACGGGGGTTCTATAAGAATATGAGACCAGAGGACAGAGGGAACAGTGAAGTTTATATGCCATCGTGAGCTAAGGAGAAGGCGGGTTGAAGTTTGGGACTTCAAAAGGCATGAGGGCAATCCACATGGAGATGGAAAAGCCAATGTCTGATAGAGAAATGTTTGCTGGGCCATCTTTACCAATGGGACACAGAGAGGACTTTGGATCCATGGGCCTTCCTGGGCTCCTCCCCATCACCTAGTTAATACTAAACTGTAGTTATCTATGATGATACCTCCCTCCTGGAGCACATCCTCTATCTACATTCTCTTAGGCAGTAAGGGGGAAGGTTGAAGGGTCTCTCTGAGTCTTTTTTTTTCTTCTTCTTCTTGAAAATAACCAGTCTAAAATAATCAGTGTCCCAAAAGTCATATTTTGGGGGAGGCACATTCTGCTTCCCCTCAGTACTCTTCCTGTTCCCCCTTTATAGACGGGGAACTGAATCTCCAACAGGTTAACTATCCTGCCCAACACCTCGCAGCCAGTAGGTATTGAAGGCGGGCCTCGGACGCAGTCTGCCTGGCTCCCCAGCCTTGTCGCGGTCACGCTGTTTGACTGCCCGGGTCAGTAGCCAACAAAGAAAACGGGCCTCTAGACATACAGTTAAGACTTCATTGGAAGGAGAATTCCCAGGAACTTGGGTCAGAATAGAGTCAGCAATGGTGGAGAGATAGTTCTCGGTAAAAGCTGGACTGGGTTCCTTATCCTCTTGGTCCCGTGTTGCAAGATCACAAAGAGGTAAGTTCGTAGATTTACAAACCTACAGTTTTTCATTCGGTAGGAGCTCTCACTCCAGCAAGCGGGAAAAACAGTTACACTGTCTGGGGATGATGAGTACATTGTGTTGTTGCCCAGAATGCAACAACTTTCTTTTTGGACTTAAGAGAATTCTTAGACCTTCCAAACATAAACAATTCTTTTTGGACTTAAGAGAATTCTTAGACCTTCCAAAGAGAATTATGCAACACTCCAGAGTAGGTTTCGCTTATAAATTACACATCAAAGCTCCCTGGGCTCCATGAAAACAGGCTTGTTTTGAATTACCGTTTTTGCGAAAAGTGCCTTTGCTTTATCTTTAGATTCTGACCACTGAACAAGACACCAAACCTATTGCCGCAGACTACTTTTTGATGGAAGAAAAATATTTTATATCTAAAGAAAAGAATGAATGCAGAAAACAGCCGTTCCAGAGGGCCATTGGTCCCGAGGAAGAGATCGTGCAGATTTTAAGCAGCTGGTTTCCAGAAGAGGGCTATGTTGGCAGGATTGTCTTAAAAACCCAGCAGGAAGTAAGTGTGTCTGAGTGCAGCCTACACGGTAACAGCTCTGTGTGTAATTCACCACCCGCCACTGGCCAACTCCCTCAAAATCAGAATTTCTTCCAATTCCCACTTGATTTCTATTCTTCTTCTGCAGTGTAAGTGGAGAAATGATTTTATTCTTTTGCACATCTTCAGAATGTTATCTCTAAGTTACAGAAATTCAGCCTAAAGGTCATCCCTTCTAAAACAAAGCGAGCAAGAACTCAGTGGATTCCTTATGCATGTCATCAGCTGTTTCGTCAGCTTTTTTATTTGTATGTGTGAGAAAACATTGTCGTGAGGGTCACAGAACTGGGTAATTCGAGGCCTGTAGGCATTTTTGTGCATTTTGGGGTTGGTTGTGTTCCTATTAGTGCCTACTAAAGTTGTAGCTAATAAATGGCTCAGCACTTATAACTAAAACAACAGTATTTTTTTAAAAAAAATATTCTGTAACTTCACATAAAGTAAGAATAATCTCTCAGCTTTGATCAGAACTCGTACTAAATATCGTTATGTTTGCTGATACTCCCGTGATAGCTCCCGAGAAGGAAACAGCACAGCACCAACTCCAGACTGGTTGGCTTCTGTTGGGGTTTGTTGATGGAGCCCTTTTTTTTTTTCTGAATAAACTGATAGAAGCCCAGTAACTTCCTGCCCCGTGCACAAAATTCGTGCACAGGTAGGGTCCCTAGGCCTGGCTGGCAATCAGGGTCTATCAGGGCCTTCCTTCCGGCTGCTGGCCGGGGCCTTCCTTCTTTCGTGCCGCCCCATAATGGTCAGCGCACATCATAGCGAGCAATTGAACTCCCAGTCTCCCAGTCGAACTCCCATGGGGACACTTTGCATATTGGCCTTTTATATATATAGATGTCATGTGAAATACCACCTACCCCCATTCTCCGATTGGTTAGTTATATCATAATCAATGCCATCACATATCATGCAGCAAAATCTCTAGGAATTAACAAAATGTAATGGCCACAATCTTTGAAGTAGAGGAAGAGTTGTAGAACAGTATTTGTAGTAAAGGACAATCTCATTTTAGGTAGTAAACATAGACAATAACTCTCCCCCACCAGTCCTTAATAGAATGAATGGAGTCCAGAAACTTCAGTCATGTAAATTCCATGACTGCAAGGTTAATGCAATGATTGGGGCAAGCCTGTGTGGGTGGGTGGCAAATCCTTTCTGGTCCTGGCTACAGTTTGGCGCCATCTGGTGGCAGTTACCCATTTGATTTTAATATTCATGGGGACAGTTCTGGGTCCTGTGTGACAGTGGTCTTGGGTTCTGGCCAGTTAGCACCATTTCAGTGACCTGGTCTGAGGAGATTAGGCTTGGAGAGTGCTGGGGGTCGGGGACTTACCTGCAGATCCTCCCTCCCTGAGGTGGGTTGCCTACTGTTTCCTTGCTTTGCCTCGCCTCCCCTCCCTGCTGCTCCTGCAGAAGATAACTGTAAACTACCCTCTTTGTTAGTGGGACTAACAAAGAACAGGAGTCATTTGACAATCATATTATATTTAAATTCACATAATTCCAGGGTTTTCTTGTATCTGTCTATTCACATATACAAAAATACATCTGTATAGCCATAGCAGATGTTTAGAACATATGACCTAACAACAGTGGGTTTTTGTGTTTTTTGTGGAGAATGAGATGGGAGAGAGAAGGGAAAAGGGTGACAGTGGGAAAAGTTTGCCTTTTTATTGCTGTGTTTCTGTACTATAGATGTATCTAATTATACAGGTAATATATATAATTATATGTGTAAAATTCACTGGAAGCCAATTCACCAAAAGCCAATCAACCTGATAACTAATTATCATGAGTATTGAGTATTTTGTTGATATTCGTTTCTTTTTTTTAAGAGATCAAATCTTAATTTTTATTTTATTATATTTTTAAATTTTATTTTTTAATTGCAGTTTACTTTCAATGTTATTTTGTATTACTTTCAGGTGTGCAGCATAGTTGTTAGACTATCGTATACTTTACAAAGTGTCGATATTCATTTCAGTGTGACTTACCTCCAGCCATCGTTTCCACCTTTCACTCTGGATTTTGTTCATTTAAGCTGAATGTCAGTTTCACGCTTCACATTTTAGATGTCTAGCATTTCTTAAATGCTCAAGTTCTATGCGAGAGTTGGGGGGGAGTGTGCTTTCTCGTAAATGTAATTTGCTTATTTGGCTTTTGGTAATTGGCAAAATGCTATATTGTCTTTTTACAAACTTACCTACAGTTGACTTGTGCTCATAATCCACAGCTGATAGGAGCAGATCTACTAGCTTGTTCTGGGCCAGACCTTATCAGTCTGTCTGTATCAGCAGAAACCTTTTTGTCTAAGACATGTATGTCCTTCTAGAATAATTTATGAAATATTAACTAGCATATAAACTAGGAAGCTAAGAAGTTATTTCCACATTACCAAGATGCATTTCACATTTTTGTTTGATGTTTCTTTCCTTACTCTACATCATCTCGCCACTCACTCACTCTTTTCTTCTCTTTTAATATAGAACCTGGAGGAGAAAAGCATTGTTCAAGATGACAGAGAGGTGATCTTGAGCTCGGAGGAGGAGAGTTTCTTTGTCCAAGTGCACGACGTTTCTCCAGAGCAGCCGCGGACAGTCATCAAAGCGCCGCGCGTCAGCACCGCACAGGACGTCATTCAGCAGGTGGGAGCCCTCCCTCACCTCAGTCCTGTCCTCCGTGTACATTCTTGGGACAAGTCAGATGCCAGCCCCTTCTATTTATGAAGTTTCTAGACCAGTGGGGACCTACAAAGGGAAAGTGGGAAATAATAGTTTATTCCTTCAGCAGATAACTTACCTAGTATCTACATGAGTCAGGCCCCGGGTGAAGCACTGGTGAAAATGTTGTAGGACATGGCTCTGCAGAGTAGTCATTTCATTGTCCCAGAAATGCCTAAGCCAATACCGAATGGCCATCTTCAGAGGGCAAGCAGAAGGCCTACTCTGACCCTCTCCCACCTCTAGGTCCTGCTTCCCTGTGTCCATGGTTTCACAAACTGTATTTCCTTCCTTCAAAGCCTTATCATGGTTTGCATTCGTCAAACACCCTTGAGAAGTAGGATAGTATAATGGTGGACGGCACAGACTCTGGGTTAAAAGGCTCGAGGTTCCAATCCCAGCTCTACCTCTTACTAGCTCTGAGACCTTGGGCAAGTTATTTAACCATCTGTGCCTTAGTTACAGTGGTATGCTTAAAAAAGACACTCTGATTTGTAGCATTTGTTGATTTCTGTTGTATAAAAGCTCCCACCATGTCTGATTTTACTAGCCTGTTCCATTTGGCTCCCACATACCACCATGTGGTAAGTTACCACTTAGATAACATGGTGATAGCATAATAGTATTTTGCTCATGGAGTTGTTGTGAAGATTAAGTCAGTAATATATGTAAACTGTACAATGTTTAGCACATGGTAAGCACAATTTAAGCTATTATTGCATGGTGATTTGGTTGGTATAGACTTTGAACTTAGCTTCTTTTGTTGACCTTTGTGCCCCCAAAGTATCTGGGACATAGTAGGCCCTCACTAAACATTTGATGACTGAATAAATGCATAAATGAAAGATAATCTTGCACGAAATGAGAAGTGAGGCCAACTAAGTTCTAAAATGCCTTAACATCCAAGATTCTGTGGTGAAGAGGCAGTCCAGTGGGACAGGGAGTCGTCTGAGAGTCAGGGGTCTGTCCCTCACTGTCACATGACCTTCATGTCTATGAGCTTTGGTTTCATGCACACGATCTGTTTCCAGTATTTATTCTATTGCTTCTTTGCTTCTCATCCTCTGGAATCTGCATAAGTTCCTCATCTGAAAGGGGGGATAATAATGACTAAATATGGAGTGTTGTGAAGCTAAACCATAATGTGGGAAAGCATGTCATAAGCCACAACCATACAAATGGAAAGTGAGGAGTAGGATAACATGATCTGAAAGATCCCCATCGTCTCTAAAAGCCTGTGATTGTTTGCCACCTTCGAGTTTCATTTATAATGAATGCAGGAGTTGGAGACACTGTCTTTATCCAGTTGATTGTAACTTATCTTTCAGACCTTATGCAAAGCCAAGTACTCCTACAGCATCCTGAGCAACCCCAACCCAAACGACTACGTACTTTTGGAAGAGGTGGTGAAAGACACAGCCAACAAGAAGTCTTCTACCCCCAAGTCCTCCCAGCGGGTCCTTTTGGATCAAGAGTGTGTGTTTCAAGCCCAAAGCAAGTGGAAAGGTGCAGGAAAATTCATCCTTAAGCTAAAGGAGCAAGTGCAGGTAAACTTCAAGGTTATTTTACTCTCTTCACCAGTTATTTGATATTCATAACTAATTTGTAATCAAATTTGGGAGATAGTGAAATCTAGGAGAAAGTCAAGAAATTTACGGGGAGAAGATTGTTTGGCTTTGTTTTCACTGCGGGAAATGTGTTCCCCTCTGTGGTTAAGCAACCCTGAGAGGGAAGGCCCTGTCATAGACGGGGAAGCGAAGGGGGCCCTTTCTGATATACTGCTCCCTGATTGAGGATGCCAGCTTTAACTTAATACCAATGGAGAGTTCTTTCTTCCCATAGGCATCCAGAGAAGACAAGAGAAAAGGCATTTCTTTTGCAAGTGAATTCAAGAAGTTCACCAAGTCAACTAAACAGCCCCGAGGACTCACATCACCTTCTCAGGTCTTGGTTTCGGAAAGTGTCCAAAACAAAGAGGAGAGACCTGTGGGTGGCAGCGACACGATGGACTATCGACAGTGACCATGGGCAGCATGTTTAACCAGGTACACTACGTCTTTGCACCATTCTGAACCAGAGGCCAACTTACACTACTTTGTAAGGCATAATTTGTACAGTATCTTTTATCTTTTCCAAATGGAGGTGTCCCCTGTGGGAGGGAGGAATGGTACCACAAGAGAAAAAGGGCTCTGAAGATATATGTACCTTCAGAAGTTATCATTGTAGACCTCCTTTAAAATATATATATATATATGTGTGTGTGTATGTATATAATTGATTTCAGAGAGGAAGGGAGGAGAGAGAGAAACCTCAATGAGAGAGCCCCATTGATTGGCTGCCTCCTGCACGCCCGCTACTGGGGATCGAGCCTGCAACTCAGGCATGTGCCCTGACCAGGAATCAAACCTGGGACCTCTTGGTCCATGGGACGACAATCAATCCACTGAGCTACACCAGCCGGGCAGACCTTATTTTATATAGAACTCAACAAAGGATCTAAGAGGACAACCAATTTTCCCAAACTACATCAGCCACATTTCATCAGACATAGAATTGTTTTGATTATTGGTCACTCAAACACTCTTGAGGGGCTGCTGTGAGTCATCCAGCTTTCCTTCCTTTGGCTGTCTAGTTTTATGTTATTCTAATTGAGGTTTGATTTGACCTGAACAAACTCAACTTCTTCTGCCTCATTTAAAAACTTAAACTCTGGCATTCGGGGTGTGATGATTAAAAAGAAAGCAAAATAACGTAACAGGCTCCATCTTGCAACAGCAGTAAATTACACCCTCAGTTGCCAGCTCCCTGTGTGGTATTCACATGCAGAGTACATTTCATTTAAATTATTTATATGGAACCTGAATTTTTTTAAAAAAAGAAGCATATGAGGAAACCAAACACAGATCTCTTCTCTTAACTTTGTTTCCTAATGAACCGAAGGGATTGTCAAAGCGCACTGTTCACCTGTTGGGTTGTGGTTCTCAGAGTTAAAATTCACCAGAGACCACATGAAGGCGCTGCTGCTTGTACCGCAAGGCTCCCTCACCCGTCTCCATCACAATCAGGACCTTCTTATATTAAACTGTAGGCGCTCACAGTTGGCCTCTCTAGACAAGGCCAACTTTGATGTGTAACAGCCCAAAAGAAAGCCTGACACAGAGAGCCCACGTTTCTACATTCAAGGACCAACTCCTACAATAACTGGTGCCTCGTACCACTTACAAAGCTCTTTCAAAACCACAGACAAAGCCAAATACAGGAAACCTCTTCCTCCAGAGTATCTGCCTACCCCGCTATTCCTAGGGAGTCAGGATTGTTCCGGTTAAGCAAAGACTCACTGGGAAGAAATCTCAGAAGGATGGCAGCAATCCATATCACATAGCGTCAGATAACGGCGATGTGCACAGAACAGTAAAGCTCTGGGCTGTCCCATTTCCTGTTGAGATACAGTTGGTATACCAATTGTTTAAAAGTTCCGGACTCACTTCCTTTTCTGTCATAACCAGCGCCTTCTCCAAAAGCCAAGTGAGCTTTAGGACTAAAGCACCGGTGTTGAACCTCCCCAGCTTTTAGGAAGTGATTCACTGTGATAGAGGGTCTTTGAGCAGGCCCTAAGGACAGATCGAAATTTAAAATACTGGGCCCTGGCCGGTTGCTCGGCTGGTCGTGATGCACCAAGGTTGTGGGTTCGATCCTTTGTCAGGGCGCACACAAGAATCAACCAGTGAATGCATAAATAAGTGGAACAAAAACTCTCTCTCTCTCTCTCTCTCCCTCCCTCCCTCTTTCTCTCTCTAAAAATAAATCAATAAAATTGTTATATTGTTTTCTGTATATCAAGAAGTTAGCAACAAATAAATCATAGGTGTGATGTTATGCTCTCTATTATAACCTCCGTAACAATACAGCTAAATTACATTCTGCACATAAAGAGCCCTCGTGCTACAAGATTACATTAAGTACCTAAGAATACAACTCCACTAGAAATTTGACTTAAAAATGACATGCTTGGCCGATCAATGATTCTCTCTCATCATTGATGTTTCTGTCTCTCTCCCTCTCCCTTCCT